CAAAATAATGAAAGTAGGAAGAGAAGGGATGAAAAGATAAGGCGAACTGAAATGTACAACCAGAAGACTCTTTCAGTTAAGAAAGTTAGAACCATTCTTTATGTAGAAAGTAAAAGAAGGTTGCAGCAGGATCGCCACTGGCTTCTATTCTGAGCCATATCTGATAACGTCTCTAGCCACTGTGTTGCACCATCTCTCGGACCCCAGCCAGGGAGTCGTGAAGGACCAACAGAAGCTAGCCCTTTGCAGCTTTCTTTCAAGCCACGACACCATGTCATACACTGACCTCCTCTCCGCTTTTTCCAACCAGTCCCAGGGTCGGCAAATAATGCACGACGTGGAAGTCTCTGGGACGACATTCGTAAAACATGTCCAAGCCACCGAAGTCGGTGTTTCAAGATGATGACACCAATTGAATTATCGTCTCGGCGCCCGAACACACGATGCCGAACTTCTGCATTACTAACATGGTGTTGCCACTGGATGTCAGCAATCCTTCGGAGACAACGATGATCGAACACAGAGAGACGTCTAACATCCTCAACTCGGAGAGGCCAGGTTTCACAAGCATAGAGCAAAACTGCTCTCACCGACGCGTTGTAGATCCGACCTTTTGCAGCCATACTAACATCACGAAGGCGTCAAAGATTGCCCAGATTGACATAAGCCGCTCTGGCTTTCCTTATACGTGCATCAATCTCATCACTCACGCCACCACCAGCACTTATATAGCTACCTAGATACACGAACTTCTCATCTATTTCAATCTGCTCACCATCTAGGGTGAGTACAGGATGAGAATCCTGCCAGTCTTGTAGGAGTACTTTGCACTTGGAGGGTGCAAAGCACATACCGTACCTGCGGACACTGATTGCCAAATGATTAAGTGCTGATTGCATGGCTTGAGCATTGTCCCACAGTAAGACAATATCATCCGCATACTCGAGGTCGAGAAGTCGTTCTTCAGGCAACATATCTACACCGCCATTACTTACATCCATCAGAGCTGTTTCCAGGATGTCATCGATGGCAAAGTTGAAGAGGAATGGTTTTATCGGGCAACTCTGCCTGAGGTGTTCGTGTACAGGGCCTTTAAGATGTTAATGAACTTCTCAGGCACACCCTTCTTCAATAGACAATCCCAGAGAACAGTCCTGTCCAACGAATCGAAGGCAGCCCTGATATCAAGAAACACTACGATTTTTGGCCTGCGATAAATATGACGGTGTTCTAACATTTGGCGGAGGGTGAAGATGTGATAAATGCATCCTCGACCAGAACGAAAACCAGCCTGCTCCACGCGAGTCAATCGTTCTCGGGTTTTAAACAACTTACGAAGAATGATAGAAGCTAATAGTTTGGACGCAATCGAAAGTAGACTTATCCCCCGATAGTTATTGCAGGAACAACGTGAACCCTTTTTAAAGATAGGGACGACTATCGACTCATTCCATGATGTTGGAACACTTTCTTGTTCCCAAACCTTTCCAAACAACACAGTCAATTCCTTAGTCAGAAGGTCACCACCATCTTTAAAAAGAGCCGGAGGTAAGTCATCTGGGCCCGGTGATTTGTAACGTTTCAAGAGTTGGAGTTCCTTGCGGACTTCCGCCTCGTTTGGTAGATCAGTCGTCACCGGCCATGGGGGGCAGGACAAGTTGGTTGATGTTGCCGGAGCAGCAGGTCAGTTGAACTGCCCTTCGAAGAATTCCGCCCATCGTCCAAGACGTCGGGAGATGTTAGCGATTGGCATCCCGTCATCCTCGTAGATTGTTTCACTCACACCAGACTTCTTGCTGCCAGTGGCACGGATGAGTTGGAAGAGCTTCCGGCAGTTACCAGATGCAGCTGCTGCTTCCATCTCATTAGCACGCTCCGACCACCAGGCTTCTCGGTCCTTACGCAAGCTTTACCCGATTTCATTACGTAACAGCCTTCGTTTGTGGTCATACTCACGGTCACCTGGAGTAGACCGACGGGCTTCGATCAGTTGTAAGGAACCAGAAGAAACCCAGTGCTTGTAAGTGGGACGTTTCGCGAAGCCGCAAGCTTCTTTACTCGCCATTTTCATGGCGCCGTGAAGATGCAACCAATGCTCATCTATACTTTTCGGTGGGATGGTAGCTAGCCTAGAAGCTAGCTCCGCTCGATACTTACTTGCAACAGATGTTGCGGCCAGTTTACTAACATCGATCCGTTGGTGGTGGTCAATCCTTTGGCCACTGAAAAGTAAGGTAAGATTGGCGCAGACCAGGGCATGATCAGACTCCAGATAGGTACTCCAAAAGGAGCGGCAGTCTTGTACACAACCACGCCAGCGGTAGCTGATCGCGATGTGATCAATCTGAGTCCAGGCTTGGGATGCAAAGGGAGGACGCCAGGTGGCACACCGGCGATGACTGTGCCGGAAGTTAGTGCTGGCCAGAAACAGGTTGTGGTCTGTGCACAGTTGCAGCAAACGGTCCCCGTTATCTGTCCTGCGACCAACAAGTCCCCATCGGCCACCTAGACGACTCTCTTCTGTGCCTAGACGCCCGACCTGTGCATTCAAGTCTCCGGCTAGTACTACAATGTCTGTCGAACGCGCTTTCTGGAGAAGAACTGTTAACTGATGGTAAAACTCATCCTTGATTGCATCCGGGCTGCAATCTGTCGGGGCATAGGCGGAGATGACGAAAAGACACCGTTTCTCACGCCGGTTTCTTTGATGGAACTTTCTAATCTAACAGCACATAATCGACTGTTAATGGGGATCCAATCGATTAGTGCTGCCTCAGCCCTAGCGCTTAGTGCGACACCAACGCCAGTAAGACCAGACGAAGATGCCACAGGGTCCCCGGATAAGCGCACGTGGAACAAGCTTTTCGAAGCAACAGATGGAGAGCGAATGTGTAGTACTTCACTAGAGTCTTGAATACGGGTCTCGGATAGACAGCAAACATCAACATTAAGACCTTCCAAAGACATAGCCAGCCCTATTTGTTGTCTGATATGCATTAGTGTGCGAACGTTGAAGGAAGCCAGCTTGAACGGCGTACGTGGTTTCAGAAAGACTGCTTCAGTATTCATAATTGGTGGAAGCATTCACTTTCAACCAGACAGTGACTGGAGATCGTTTAGATAGGACAGATTTTCCACCATGGGCGAGCTGAAAAGTAAGGTTACACAAATTGGGGATAAAAGGGGGTGAGTTAGCGATATGGTAAATAATAATAATAATAATGATAATAATGTAAATGGTCTTGCTTCTAGTATGAGCAGGAATAGCATCGTCAATAGAATTCATCATTTCATTTATTTGTGTGTGGGCTGTGATACTGCCAGGGTGCCCAACCCGAAGCAGGTGGTTTTCTTAGGGGGCCACTCCCCGAGCCTTTGACCAAAAGGTCTGATCCACAATGCAGTGGGGCATCGTGAGGAGATGCAGTCCCATGGTAGCCGTTGACCAATGACAGGTTCGTCCGCCATTCGTTCCTTCAGGATACTGGAGCCCATGTGCACCATTGGTTTGGAATCAGGGTTTTCCAACTCCCCTAGGTGGACCCTCCGTGTCCACCAACCCGGTTAAAGAGCCGGACATTCGCTTTTCGTCTTCTCACTTTCGTAAACAACACCCCGGCCACAAGAAGGCAGTGAGTAGGACTTCCCTGGCAGAGGCTATATATTCGCTGGCCATGTGAAAGCATTTCGAGAGGGAGAGTAGACTCTCCCCACTCTCGGCCATACCACGGCATTTGGGGGCAAGTATTCTGATAGGTCTTATTAGTTGCTATTAAAATTGTATACGACCACAATCGTTTACGACATACCCAGCTTTCCTTTTCAACTGATTAGTACCAGAATAATACATAGAAACTTCCGAGAACCACGTTAATTTTGTAGTATTTTGTGATCAATAATTGACATTTTAATGATTCCTGATTATTGAAGCTCCAATCTTATCACTTTCATGCGATTCCATAGTTCATTTATAACACTCATTTCTTTTTTTAATTTTACAGATGAAACATAAACGGGATTTGAAGCTATTACTTCATCCATACTTTATCGTGAATATGCTACTTAGCGCTCTTTTTTTTATATCAAAAACTGTACCATTATTTTGTACATGGATGTATGACGATTGTCACATCAATCTCCAAGAATATGAAATGTTGATATTTTTAGGAAGCTTCGTCGCATTACGCAATAAACGTCAATTCTCTATTCCCGATTATCTTGCTCATTTTTACATGTTTGCTAAAATTGTTAGTCTACTTATGTTCTGGAAACAGAATGTGGTATATGCCATATTGTATGGTGTTTTATGGTTGGTTCAAGCCTGCTTTTTACAACAACCTGTTTATAATGGGCCTGATAAAGTTTTATACTTGCGAGATACTACTTTTGAACAAGAAGTTATTCGTGGTAACCCGAAAGTAACATGGCTCGTTGCCTTTTATACTGTGTGGTCACCTGCTTGTACTAAACTACAACCTATCTTTGCAGAATTGTCAGAAGAATTTGGAACAGATCTTATGAAGTTTGGAAAAATCGATGTAATACGATATCCAGATATCAGCGTCAAATATAACATTGATACATCCTCCTGGTCTAAACAGCTTCCTACTCTGATTTTATTTCGTCAAGGTCGTGAACTGACACGCAGACCAGCTATAATCAATACACCTAAGAAAACAATACAGAAATTCACGTTCACTTGGGACAATATGATTAACGCTTTTTCACTAAATGAAATATACACTAATCAGAAACAAACTTCTGGAGTTGCAAATCAGTGTGGTTCATCTAGTCCAACAGATAAAGATAAGAACCTGTGAAAACGTTTTATTTCATCGAGATATTGTGTTAGGTATTTTATCTAGTTTTTCTTATATCTTTTTTGAATGACCTGCATCTGTAAATTAATTTTTCCACATACTTTTGGAACTATTCGGTACTCAAAACCAAATTTTTATTCAGTTAAATTGACTTTCATAGTTGAATACCTTTGTTTTAATCCCTTAGTCACTTTTGTCTTAGTGTTTTGTATAAATTTAACTATTCCTTAAAGGTCTTATATTATAAAAACGTTTTACTGTGATTGGTAAACAGCTTCGAAGTATGTTGTTGATAGATTAATAATAACCAAGTTTTTTAACTTCGGTTTACTGAACATGTGTTGTGTGACGACAGTTTTTATTGTCTAAAGTGAATTAAATGAGATGCTAACCCATGAGTTGGTGAATGAAAGTTTTATGTTTAGACTATTGAGTCACTGTTACCTTAAGAATAGTTTTGTTTAGTTACAAAATGTGTATATCGTATTTTAAAGGTTCATTTGCATTTAGCTCAGTTTCACTACAACATAGTTTAGACCATATTTCGGTGAGTTGCACTACCACGACCCTTATTTTCCTATTCATCATACAGAATGCGACCCTTGTATTCCTATCGTACCACCAAAATATTCTCGAAACTGAAAATAAATAACGAAGTTGTTGTTTTCAGGGTGAACAACTTTGCTGCAGATTTCTAGTTTATTTTGGGCTGTTTCCTAATAAGTGTATTTTTCGTAGTTGTGCAGCGCAAAGACGAATGGTATTTATGCAGATTCTCCTGTACGTTGAATTCCATGGCCATGCAATCCGATTCGTGATATCTTACTGCTTTTATCTTTTTCAAATGCAAGTTTTCTATATTCTTCATTTCTAAATGTGTTTATCCGTCCAACAGCCTATAATTAAAATACAAAGGTAAGTGGTTAAGTTTAAGCACTATGGTATAGTCATTACTCACTCGGAATAAACTTAGGACCTGGGACGATCGTACACCGACCCCACACCAAGGTGAAATTCACAAAATACATTTCAAAGAAGTCTAAATAATAGTATCATCACTAACACTAAGGATGGTAGGTACAGAGAATATTGTTTGAATAGAGTGAATGAATCCTTGTGATCGAAAGTATTTGCCGATACTGAGACTTCAAATCTAGGAGATGAAAATTCGATGCACCTACAGTCACAGATTTTCCGGTCGGTAATCACAGTTATCTTATTAACACGTGTTATTAAGTCTCCAACGTCCCCATACTGTTTTAAACAAACATTAGTTAATATGGGAGGTATTTTGCTGAATAACAATAGAAGTTGGTTGATTTCTTCTTAAAATGAAGGTGCTAGTGTAATTATCTGTACGGCAAGTAAGTTGCTTACTGTCAAAGGAATATCGAGTAGTTAACATACTTTCACACGCTCTGCTTTTGTATACTCACACTAGTTTCTATTGATTAAGATAAGAAGATTTAGGAGCACCACCATTCTAACTCTCATAGATTTCAGTAACAATCAAAAGCTGTAAAACAAATACTAGGTAGTGGGTTTATATATAATTACATATGTAATATAAATGGGTGGGAATATCACACCTTGCCAAACTTTTCGCGTTCAGTTACCTCTGAATCACTTTAGTACGAATTATCAAAATTAGTTGTCAGACGTCAGTTATTATGTTCAATGAACTACTCTTAAAATCTTATGCCTAACTTTGATTTCAGCTGTCATCTTAGTAAACGTGATTATTACTTCAGCGATCACAAACCAGTTACCCGACCCTTTTGACTGATGACGTTTTAGTTTCAACCGTACATCACTAAATATTAAACTTTTGTTTTTCCGCAATAGTTTGTAGAATGCCAATGGCTTATCGTGCTCACTTAAAATTATTAGGATTTGTGGGGTTCTTCTGTACATGTTGATCGGGACACTTGTTTAATTCTACTGGTCTTACTAGCCATATGTATCTCAGTTCAAGTAGATTGTCTAGACAATATTCAAAAGTTTTCATAAACTTACATTTTGTTCAAACCTCTTCAACTTCCAGAAGCTTTCTTCTTTGTTTTTTTTCATGCAATTTCTCCTAACCATCGCATCTGTGTCAGGATGGTTAACTCTTCTGGACATGATCTAAGTATAACATGTTATTTGATAATACATTTCGTACCTTTAGTCCAAGCAACTTGGCTTCTACTTTGTCTGATTTCTTCATCTGTGCATCGATCCAATCTTTTTGATATTTATTTGAAAGGATTTCTTGAATTGGCGTAGAGGCTCTAGATAAATGTGGAAAGGTCTTAATGAAGCATGAATTTTTAGTAATGGAAGTAATTACCATACACGTTTGTATCTATATCTCACAACACATTCAGTCTACTGATCTTAGTTTTCTAATGAGGTTGTAATGCACCATACTATAAGATTTCTTGAGTCCGAAACAGACTTTTAGCATATGTGGCTATTTGACCATATAATTGGTAGATGGTAGTTTGAATGCACTTTTTTAAATGTTCGGTGTTTGAATTCGATTTATATGTGGCCGCAAACATCCGAACAGGATTTTAAACTCTCTGTGTAGAAACACTTGAAAATTATGAAGACATAAGTAGTAAAAATTTGTGCTTTTGTCTCACTGCAAGTATCTCCAGCATACTAAGTAATCAATAGACCGACGCATTTTCAGCAAATTTCCTAAGTCCTCATGAAAAGAAAGAGAGTTCTGTTCAGCTGCCGACTTAGTTATCACGGCTGCTACAAATATAGCGTAGTACAGGACCAATAAAATAGTATAAGATTATGGAAAATTTTCAAAATAGGCCGTCTTTATATTGTCCTAGTTTGCTGTCAGAGTTTCTTAAAAAAGATATCCCAAACTGTGGAGTACTGCGTTGTGGTCTAGGTGTTTTTTGAATACTGTTCGTATGGGATTTTTATAACAACCTAAGCATACAAACTGGATTTTAACTAAAGCAATGAGATCCGTTCCTGTGGTCGATAATAATTTTATCAATCAAGCTGAGTCACTATCGTCGTTTACCGGTACTTCTTTCATGAAGAACAAGAACTATTCTTTCATATGCTTAGAAACTCGTCCGGAATTCCGTTTTCGATAGCTAAAAGGATATCAATAGGTGAAGTAATGCGTCTTCAGAACTCAACGACCTTTTCATATTGAGACTGAGATGCTTTAAGAGAACAAAGTGGTAAACTCATTATTATTGAGCTTATTATTAAGTTTGTATTCAGTTCCATTTAACCCTTTAGAAACATTTACTGGCTGAATTTCCGTTGAATGTGCCACACACTCGTGGTTGGTTGGTTGGCAAATTCTACATGCTATCCAAAGGTGGAGAAAACTTAATTCATTCAGTACTTGGACATATCAATTAAAGTACAAGCATAGTCTTCCGAATATTCCCACATATTCGGGGGTGTAGAATCCTTCTGGATTTGACGAAATATCAAATGCAAACAATCTTAGGCTAATGAAGACTAAAGTTCCGCGCCAATCAAATCAAACTTTACTAACAAGACAAGTTCTGAGTAGTGGTTAGAAAAATAACCAGGTGGGGCGTTTCGATGAGGAATTATGCCTGAATGATGGGATTAAAAGTACTCACTTGTTAGGTACACCATGAGTGACATCCAAATGTAGTTTCGGTGACTCTGTTCTCGATCTGCGTTTCGCTTGCTTCGATCTCAGTCTGTCGTGTAACGCCCTAAAATGAGTCATTTCCTTGCTTGTTGTCACGCCCTGCCTTACAGAATCACAGTTTAATGCCACGAAGTCCCGAGTAAGATAGATATGCTCATTAGACTTCTGGCGTATTGTGGTATCATCAACCCAGTGAAGAGCTAAAAATAATTCAAGGAAGGGCATACCATCAGAAACACCACTGGTTTTCACACTTTTTATTCCATAAGTGAATGGTGGAGGAGGGACTTTTAAGCAGTGTGTATTACTGCGTCCTAAAATTGACTTAAGATAATAATTGACTCGAAAATGAGTCTACTCGCTGAAGTAAAACATTCTTGCACATGCTCTCTCTTTTATCGCCCAGAAGATTTGTTGCTGTATATTGCCACCCTCGAGAGCATTCAACCTTACCGGTCTTCATATTTGTAAATGTGACTCTAACAGTCAGCATGACAACTGAAAATCTGTTGTGCTAAACAAAATGCGAAAAAGTCTGTTACACAGTTTTTTGTTAGATGACTTGTCTTAAATCGTAAGTGCATTTATGTTCGCTATTTGATGACATTTGATCCTTAATGTTGATGAACAGTGTGGTTTAAATTTATCTACCAACAAAAAAATGTATGAAGAAAAGATTCAAATGGTTGTGGACGGAACAGAAGTTTTTGCTTAACGGGCTTCCGTGTCTAGTAGCAGTGGATCACCAGATGGAGGCGAGGCCTCAACTTATGGACGAACCAGTAAGATTTAAGATAACGGGACTTGGATTTTGGTGTGAAATGTAATCATACGTTGGGCCAAAATCAAGCTTTTGGACTTTAGTTAATGTCAGTTCTTGATGAAACATTTAAATTTAATTCTTAACCCTAGCTATCCACTGTGGATCATAATCTTTATTCTTCAAACAGATCGAAGAGCTCTTATTGAATGGGCTGTGAATTCAATATCTTTGTCATCAGCTTGTACAAACGAATCGATTTATACGCGATCACTTCTGGTTATTCCGTTACAGTTCCAGGTATTTTTTTATGTATAATGTGTGGTAGTCTAGCCACTCAACTGCATTGATTCTAGTCGGTGTGGCAGTTATTTATGGATAATTATATTGTATAGTTCAGTGTATGCGTTTGTCTCAGAGCAGTAGGGTTTCTGGATACCAGAAGCTATTACATCAACAAGCAGATGACTGGTTGAGTATGTATCTGTTAAGTCTCCTTTAAAAGTCTTCAACTGAGGCGTTTGTAGTCACCTAGGTTGAAAGAGTATTCCAAAATGGGGGAAACTCATAATAAGAAAATGTGAGACGGTGTCTGGATGCTCGCTCTTTGATATGAAATTCCTAGAAGGTTGCCTCGAGGAGCATGATGATAATGTTCTGGTAATATGCTCGCGTCGGGTTGGCTTGAGGTGGTTAATATGTTGTTTACAACTATCAAATCACCTCTAATTCTCCTGTAGCTCAGAGAGGATAATTCCAGGTGCTAGAGTCTGTCCTCATAAGATTTATATCTTGGCCCTGGCACACACTTGGTTACTCGTCTCCGTACCATGGCAATGAAATTTACATGTTTTGGAAGAAAGGTGGCGCACTGACATTTCAGATTTTAAGGTGAGGCGTGTTTGCGTTTTAAGTAGTGTTAGGAACAACTGTGGAGTGACTGAGCCAAGTTATATGATCATAACATAAAGAGTTGCGTGTACCCTGACTAAATCCGCTGTGTAGTTTGAACAAGTATCAAGGCTATCTGTAGATACAGGACCGAGATCTCACTCTAAAGAGACAAGTGGGAGGGGTATACATGGAGGATGTAAGTGCCCTGTGTCAAATAAGGTAGAATATTCTTGGTATGAAATTTTGAAAGGTTAGGTTTCAAATCATTGTCTGCTGCCCATTCCTCTATTATTGTAAGGATCTTTTGAAGCTCAAGTAGATCGTCAATTCTTTTCATCATTTACATAGATCACTGTGGTCAAGCAAACTTTATGTAACAGGTCGTTAATAAGGACCTAAGACCATTCCTTATAAAACTCCTGATGTTTAGACATGCTAGATCACCTGAACTCTGTTTACCTTAATACGAAACATCCTGTTCTGTAGGTAGTTTTAGAGCCAGGATAAAAGTAAATCAGTGAAATATGCCTTGTAAGCCTTTGCTATAAAAAGTGCTTGAGTGTTTGAACGATGTCCATCGCCACCCACCGTTGTCATCCACTGTTAGTCTTAATCACTCTTTTGCTCATTGAGCTTATGGAATACGCCCTCTCATCATCATGTAATGTGCTCTAGTGTTGCTTAGGTAGGGAACATGTCCGTCCCGCTGAAGTACGTCGCATGTGATTACGTTGAATAGGACTGTATCATGGTCACTACTTCCTGTCAGTGAGCATATCATCTCACTTGTCTGGGCTTTCGAACCTTGAGGGGTTGGTATACTCCCCCCCAATCAGTAACATTTTGCCGCTCATATTGAGGCAACACCAACATGATTCTGTCACTTCGATTAGTCCAGTGTTTTGTGATCTTCCGGCTTTGAAGAGGCTAATAACACATATTGGCGCTCCAACTTCTGTTTTTTGTACCTTATTATGTCGTCAAAGTGTCATGTGTCGCAAGTTCACGTATTCGTCCGTGATGTCGAGCGATAGCCGAATTTCAGTGCATACTCTGATCCCGAGATATAACTGAAAGCACATTTTTCTGACTCCTCCCAGTGTCCCCGTAGTCCCCTTACGTCTCTGTAAAGTCAATTGACGGCTCTTCTCATTACCTCGAGCAACTCTACAGCAGCATCCGTCTTATGGTTTTCAAACAGATTTCCGTTTAAAGTATGTTGAACAATCCTCTTCCAAACATTATCCACTACTCTTTACTGCTAACAAATAATGGGATATTAGCAATAGTCTGTGATTTCGCTGATGTGTGGGCCAGATTATGGCTGCCCTAATCACATGTCCGGCCGAGCCCGTGTTAGATTAATTCAATATACTAGCGGGATTTTTTGCTGCCCTTTTTTCATAGTACTGTAGAATTATGGTCCAGTTCAATATTCGTACTACTGTAATGTTAGACCTATTCCCAAACTGTAGATTTGTCACGATGTGACCGCCCAATCCGTAAGATCTTATGTGGAAGTCCCATCACTGTTTGCAGCAACTCGTTCGATCATGAAGTGCAACAGTCTGACGTTTGAAATTACTGAAGAACACATTGGAGCTGAGAAGAGAGCAGTATGTTTGATACGAAAAGTAAAAGTTTATAAAGAGTGACCGCACATACATGACCGAGACATGTCATATAGATTCCCTGTCTCCTTATTCACAATTTTTGACCTTCTGTTAGTGTTATATGTTGAACATAAATCTTCTGAGTAATTATAAACTGAGTAACAAAGATTATATGGTTAGGAATCAATCAATACCACTACACTACTCTCCCATAATAATCAACATGATGTTGGTTGGATACCAAATTGAGTGAGATCGTTGCGCTCCGAATATTACTAAAAGAGTGATAAGAATCCTCCGGGTATTGACAAACTGAAAGACAATTCGAGAATTCGGTAGCAACTGATGAGGATATATATATATATATTAGTTTGGTTTGTATATTAACACGCTTAAAGTGGATACCTACGCACATATTATTAAAGCGTTAAGCGAAACGACATTATCTTAATAAATTGTAATTTGGCGCAGAGATATTTTACCTAGTCTAATTACGGTGCGTACTAACGGCCGTTTATTAGTAGTTTAACATTTAGACGTTACCAGGAGTTTGTGCTCATGAACAGAAAATACAATCAGTGTTGTATCAATGTTGATAATAATGTTGTCTTTGGCTCGAGTGAATGTCGGTATGCTGTACGTATGTGTTGATTTTCAATCTAATTGGCATTATTTGGCTAACTGAAAGAATATATATATATATATATAATTATGAATAGAAAAATGTTCCACTAGTGTCCTAGTTAGTTTTTAAAGTTAGTTTTGGTTTATTTAGTTACAGAGAGATTTTATGGACCTCATTATTGCTCAACCGTGATAGAATTTAGCAGTACTACAAATACATATGTACTGTTATCCAAAGTTTATTTAATACTTGAAAGCACTGGTAATTATGTGAATTTCGGACAGATGGCTGACAGTAGTTCGTTGAGCGCAAGTGCATCCGCAATAGACATGCTCTAGACCCAATGCTCTATTTAGCAACAGATCACTTATATGTATTCATCCATAGTGGTTAATGGTGTATACAAGTCAGTTGCAACTATCATTTTTGGAATGATGTAGAGGGTCGATTTGTATGAACTTCAATGGTTATAAGGTGTTGAAATCAACAAAATGTATAGGACACAAATATAAGCCTTCACAAGATGATAAACAGTGAGTGTTTCTTGTGTGATTATCAGGGAGATTATAAGTTGTAACCATAGGGAGAACAACTCCCGACTCATGTCTATGATAATAGCGTGAACCTTTGTCAACGTTGGGGTAAGTTCGACAGTTATGCTTTCAGTTTGCAGGAGATTTGCTCGACTGCTTATCCTGAGGATTTGTATGAATGATTGTGTCGCTAAACCTCCAATTAGATTAGAAATGTTCTACGATGCTTAATAAACGAGCGATTGATAGAAAAACATCGAAATAATCTGTAATAGATAAAGACGAACACGAGAAAAACACAATTTATTGTTAGCTGTAAGTCGATTTGTCGATCGAATCTGTTATTAGTTTCACCAATTTTATCAATCATATAACGCGGTTTTCAAGTCGTGACAACGCTTTGTGATGATTTCAAGAAACCATTATAAATAATTGCTTATGATGTTGATTGAGAATTAGTTAGTGTGAAATGAGTATTGTCATTTTAGGTGATTCGAAATTATCAGACGCTCGTTGCATTAATTAATTCAGGATGCCTGATCATATACAAATTACGATCAATTTTCGTTCATATAGCTTTAGTATTAGTAGGCTCTAGGGTTTTTATTTTGAACGCTTTCTTGACTGATAACTAAGTGATAGTTTTGTCATTATACTAGTGCAATACGGTAACATCTTAATGCAGTGACCTTAATACTTTAATTATGTACAACATATTTTCAGGAGACTAATATGATGGCTCAGTTCATAGACCAAAATACGTACAGCAAGAACGACTTTAATGTATTTAGTGTAAAATGTTAAAGGAAGTTCAAACAACTGTTACATTAAAATGACAAGAATGGTATAATATTACGTATGTATAAGCTAGATTGACATGCACGTTAAAAAACAATATCACGTTTACAAAAAATGGACTTGACCGAAAAAAATTAAAAGTTGAGACATGACTGATGAAACTGCAGTTAAGATAATGACAGGTGCAATATAGACTTTTCAAAAGTGGTTGCTGTATTTTGCCTAGTAACATTCACAAATAAGTTGTGCTGTTGCTACCTAATAAAACCGAACATCAGACAAGGGGTCGCCAGCCAAGCCTCATCAGAGTCGAAGATAACCAAAGTGCATTAGTAAATCATAGAACTTATTTGGACCACAGAATAATTGACGTACTCTTCTACTTATTCTTATACCATGAGACAATCCATGTGCGGAAATCTTTTTGTTCTTTTTTGAACATTCGGGAAAAATGGTAATGTGATAATTGAGAGTATTTGAATTATGGTATGAACTAGTAATCCCAGCAATAACGCAACTTAACCAAGAAGTATTAGATTAGCACGAACGAACGTACTGTAATTGGAATTCGAAATCACAGCAGTCATCAATATAAAGAAATCACTTCTTCATATAAACACCACAGGTAGCCGAGCCACTAAGTTAGGATGTTCAGAGTATGCAATTGTCGCTCGGTGTATTTGTGATAATTAAGAGTATTTGAATTAAAGTACAAAATAGTAATCCCAGAAATAAATCACTTTAATCAAGATGTACTAGATGAGCACGGACGAACGCATTTTATTTGGAATTCGGAATCAAGCAGTCATCAAGTACAAAGGAATTATTAGTTCATACAAACACCATATCCTCCACAGCTTAAATTGGAGTCTAAGTTTCTGTAATCGGTTGTGTGTCTTCTCCTTAAATTCATTCCATGTCTGTTCGACAGTATATTATATATAGACGTTTTATTATTGTAAATGTACTCATTAGTATTAGTATTAATAACTGAAATCGAAACAGACCCACCCGGGTCCTGGAATTGTATACAACCACCATGTCGGTTGTGTAGTGAAATCACTGATATCTAAAATTTAAGCCATAAACTTTCCAACAATATTCACCCTCACGAAATAATGTTGAATCCTTACGTCCCAATGTAATGACCAACTAGCATTATCTTATTACATCTCACGCTTCGATTACTGTATGTGAGTATTTGGGAATACACACTGATATATAATTTGAGGCATTCCATTACGTGAATTCGACTTGCATAAAAAATATGGTACATATTCCCTTTGCTTTTCACATTAGAATACTATGATAATTAGAAGTATTTGAATTGTAGTATGAACTAGTAATCCCAGGAATAACGCAATTTAATCAAGAAGTATCAAATGAGCCCGAACGAATGTATTGTATTTGGAATTCAAAATTACAACAGTCATCAATACTAAGAAGTCATTGATTTATTTAAACATCACATCCGCCACAGCTCGAATTGGAGTGTAAGTGTCTGTAATCGATTGTTCGTCCTCTTCTTAAGTTCATCTTACATCTGTCCGACGGTGTATTGGATGTAGACTCTGTATTATCTAGAATGCACTCATTAGTATTAGAATTAACAACCGAAATTGGAACAGACTCACCTGGATTCTGGTATTGTATTTGATCAACGTGTCGGTTATGTATGGTCAAGTCATTGATATCCAGAATTCGCACCATAGATTTTCCAACATTCTTCACCACGATCCCCGTGGCTGGTCGAAGATCATTACCACGATAATACGTAACTTCTGCAGACTCCAAACACCTCATATTCGAACGGAGAATTCTTCCTTTTAATAGCTTTGATGGAGTCTCTTTCGTCACAGAATGCTTAGCATTTCTATATTGAAGTAGAAATGTATCTACTCCCCTCTCCAGTTCATTGAATGTCGAAGCAGCAATAGAATCAATAGCAATTTTCAATGTTCTTACGAAATTTTCTGCCTGACCATTGGAACAAGGGTGCCTGGGAGCCGTAAACAGATGTCTGCACCCTATACCATTTAACCAATTAGTGACTGCATCTGCAGCAAAATGAGAGCCATTATCAGTCACCAACACCATGGGAACTCCTTCTCGACTAAACACCTTCCTTAATGCTTGAATTGTGAAGTCAGAATTCGGTGAAGTTGTGAAAAAAACTTCAGGCCACTCAGAAAAAGAATCAATAATTACAAGTGCATAGTATTTGCCAAGAAATGGACCACAGTAGTCTGCATGAATTCTCTGCCAGGCCTCAGACGATACTGGCCATGGAGTCCACTTCGAAGGCAGACTTTTTAGCTTATGACATTTCTCACAATTGTTTGCTGTACGACATATATCTGCATTTATCTCTGGCCACCAACATGTGAGTCTTGCTAAGGACTTCATTTTCTCAACACCAAGATGTCCACTATGAAGATCATCAAGGACAGGTTTGCGTAATGAAGGAGGAATAACAACACGATCATTTAAACACAAAATACCGTCAGGAGTAGTAGATAACTCGTCCCGCTTTGAATAATAGACAGGAAATCTACGTTTCAGATTAGCATTCCAACCCTTCCGTATAGCACTGAGTATACATCCAAAGTATCTACGAGTTTCTCTAATGAGATCTGGACGTCTCACCGGTAAAGGTTGCACTAACAAGCAGTCTGAAGTATTAACAGGTCTATCTTGTAATGGTTGTCGAGAAATGTAATCAACGTGTTGAATTTGTTTTGCACTCCTGTGCTGAATCGTATAGTCATAAGCACTCAAAGCAATACTCCATCGTTGAACCATAGCAGCTGAGGAACGTGCTAAGGATTTGTCAGGATGATAAATGAACTTTAAGGCTTCATGATCAGTAACAATGGTAAACTTCTTTCCAAATAAATATTTATGAAGTCTTTTAACAGCCCAAAACACAGCTAACGCTTCTCGCTGCGTTTGTGAATAACCTTGTTCAGCAACAGAAAGTTTGCGTGAAACACATATAACTGGCCTACCTTCCTGTTCCAAAACTGCACCAATACCTACAGGTGACGCATCAGTAATAAGAACAGAATGTACACTGGGTGAGTAAGTTCGAAGGACAGCATCACTTTGAAGAAACTTTAGCAGACTTCGTAGGCATGACTCTTGTTCTTCACCCCATTTGAATGAATTGGATGTCAAAATATTAAATAAACAATTGGCACGACAAGAAAAATTAGGAATAAAACGAGAATAGTACTGAAGAGCACCCACTAGTGAACGTAATTCTGTGATGTTTTTTGGAGACGGTGCATTTGTCAGTGGAGCTAGTCGTTTCATATCTGGTCTAAAACCATTACCATCAACTAAGTATCCAAGGCATTCAAAACTAGATACACTAAATGAACACTTATTTGGATTCACTGTAATATTCTTCTCAATTAAACGACGCAATAAAGCAATAAGTCTCTGGTCATGGACTACTTTATCAGCACCATGAACAATGAGATCATCTTGATAAACTTCAACACCTTCAATATCGCTGACTATCTTATTCATGACCTCTTGAAATATGGCTGGAGAACAACTAAGACCAAATGGAAGGAAGTTGTATTTGAACAGACCAAAAGGAGTGTTAATTGTTGTCAAGATAGATGAAGATTGATCTAAAGGAATTTGAAGATAAGCATCTTTCAAGTCAACTTTCGAGAACACTTTAGAACCATGAAGCCGATTTAGAATATCTTCAGCCTCCATCGTCGTGCATGTTTGCTTCAACAAACGGGAGTTCAGTGTCAATCTGTAATCACCGCATATTCTAGGGGTCTTGCCATCCGATTTCAATGGCGTAACAATAGGAGTACCCCATGCTGAGGACTGAACTGGTTCAATTATACCTTTCGCACACAAATCATTCAGTGACTTATGTACTGCTTCTCGAAGACCATAAGGAATTATTCGTCTTTTAAGAAAGACCGGATCACCCTGTACTTGAAGTTTAATGGGCTGAATTTTCATACCTCCACTACACTTAGCACACACAGCTATCAAATCCTTGAGTAAAGCATCAGAATTCTCTGTAGAAACTAGTAGAGACAATTCCACTTTAAGCCTTTTCAGATTTTTTAAACCCAGTATGGACAGTCCTGTTTCACTAACTAAAAATTCACAAGGTACGTATGAAGAATTATCATCTCTTATTAGCAATTTACAACATCCTCTTATAGGTAGTCTGTGTCCAGTAATCCCCAGTATTGAGACCTCAGTGGGTTTTACCACAACATTAGGATCTAAAGATTTCAAGTTCTTGAATGAAATAATGGACTCTATACTACCTGTGTCCACAATAAAGTCATGAAATGAACCAAGGGATGTATATAATCGCTTTTGAATATGAACATTCCCTTTTGAAGTAGTGGATAAAGATAAATGATCATCAAGAACAGCCGAATTATTGGGATCTAAGTTACCAGACTTAGTAATACTTGAAGCAAAGTGAACAGTAGTTTTGCACACTGACTGAATGTGTCCTATCTTGCCACATTTAAAACATTTAGCATTACGAAATGCACATGAATTACGAAAATGAAATTTGCCACAAGATAAGCATTTACCAAACTTATTCTCACCTTTGTTGTTTGCTTTGCAGTTCCTTGTTAAACCACCTTTCATATTTCCACGGGAATAGCAATCACGATTAAACGAACGCAAATTTGATCGACCCTGAGATTGTAATTCATCATGACGACTAAGCAAAGTATTAGAAATTTTCATCGATTGAATATCAAGTTCATTCACTGCTTCGTAGTTAATACATGCAGTTCTAGCATCTTGAAAAGAACAGTTCGGCATTCTTAACAGCTCCTTTTCCAGACCTGGTATGTTAATTCCAGCAATTAACCGATCTCTCAACTGTACATGAAGCTGATCACCAAAATTGCATTTGGCAGCTTGTCTTTGCAATTCAAGGATGAAGTCTTTAACCTTCTGGTTATCCTGACGAATCATCTTATGAAATTTTGCTCTCTCACGACACTCAAAACTGGTGCACTTCACATGGTTTAATAGTAATTCCTTGAGAGTTGTATATGGGAGTGAAATGGGCTTATCTGGATATGCCAAGGTTTTTAATAAACTGTAGGCTTCTTGACCGATGAATGTAAGAAAATGTGCCACAATTTTGTCACCCTTCATATCTTTCTTGGTCATGCTCCATATCTCAAACCTTTCAAGGTAATCCTCACAAGCTTCAGAAGTTGAATGAATGTCCAACTGTTGTATCGCAGGCTCCATCGCGACGCCAATATGATAATTAGAAGTATTTGAATTGTAGTATGAACTAGTAATCCCAGGAATAACGCAATTTAATCAAGAAGTATCAAATGAGCCCGAACGAATGTATTGTATTTGGAATTCAAAATTACAACAGTCATCAATACTAAGAAGTCATTGATTTATTTAAACATCACATCCGCCACAGCTCGAATTGGAGTGTAAGTGTCTGTAATCGATTGTTCGTCCTCTTCTTAAGTTCATCTTACATCTGTCCGACGGTGTATTGGATGTAGACTCTGTATTATCTAGAATGCACTCATTAGTATTAGAATTAACAACCGAAATTGGAACAGACTCACCTGGATTCTGGTATTGTATTTGATCAACGTGTCGGTTATGTATGGTCAAGTCATTGATATCCAGAATTCGCACCATAGATTTTCCAACATTCTTCACCACGATCCCCGTGGCTGGTCGAAGATCATTACCACGATAATACGTAACTTCTGCAGACTCCAAACACCTCATATTCGAACGGAGAATTCTTCCTTTTAATAGCTTTGATGGAGTCTCTTTCGTCACAGAATGCTTAGCATTTCTATATTGAAGTAGAAATGTATCTACTCCCCTCTCCAGTTCATTGAATGTCGAAGCAGCAATAGAATCAATAGCAATTTTCAATGTTCTTACGAAATTTTCTGCCTGACCATTGGAACAAGGGTGCCTGGGAGCCGTAAACAGATGTCTGCACCCTATACCATTTAACCAATTAGTGACTGCATCTGCAGCAAAATGAGAGCCATTATCAGTCACCAACACCATGGGAACTCCTTCTCGACTAAACACCTTCCTTAATGCTTGAATTGTGAAGTCAGAATTCGGTGAAGTTGTGAAAAAAACTTCAGGCCACTCAGAAAAAGAATCAATAATTACAAGTGCATAGTATTTGCCAAGAAATGGACCACAGTAGTCTGCATGAATTCTCTGCCAGGCCTCAGACGATACTGGCCATGGAGTCCACTTCGAAGGCAGACTTTTTAGCTTATGACATTTCTCACAATTGTTTGCTGTACGACATATATCTGCATTTATCTCTGGCCACCAACATGTGAGTCTTGCTAAGGACTTCATTTTCTCAACACCAAGATGTCCACTATGAAGATCATCAAGGACAGGTTTGCGTAATGAAGGAGGAATAACAACACGATCATTTAAACACAAAATACCGTCAGGAGTAGTAGATAACTCGTCCCGCTTTGAATAATAGACAGGAAATCTACGTTTCAGATTAGCATTCCAACCCTTCCGTATAGCACTGAGTATACATCCAAAGTATCTACGAGTTTCTCTAATGAGATCTGGACGTCTCACCGGTAAAGGTTGCACTAACAAGCAGTCTGAAGTATTAACAGGTCTATCTTGTAATGGTTGTCGAGAAATGTAATCAACGTGTTGAATTTGTTTTGCACTCCTGTGCTGAATCGTATAGTCATAAGCACTCAAAGCAATACTCCATCGTTGAACCATAGCAGCTGAGGAACGTGCTAAGGATTTGTCAGGATGATAAATGAACTTTAAGGCTTCATGATCAGTAACAATGGTAAACTTCTTTCCAAATAAATATTTATGAAGTCTTTTAACAGCCCAAAACACAGCTAACGCTTCTCGCTGCGTTTGTGAATAACCTTGTTCAGCAACAGAAAGTTTGCGTGAAACACATATAACTGGCCTACCTTCCTGTTCCAAAACTGCACCAATACCTACAGGTGACGCATCAGTAATAAGAACAGAATGTACACTGGGTGAGTAAGTTCGAAGGACAGCATCACTTTGAAGAAACTTTAGCAGACTTCGTAGGCATGACTCTTGTTCTTCACCCCATTTGAATGAATTGGATGTCAAAATATTAAATAAACAATTGGCACGACAAGAAAAATTAGGAATAAAACGAGAATAGTACTGAAGAGCACCCACTAGTGAACGTAATTCTGTGATGTTTTTTGGAGACGGTGCATTTGTCAGTGGAGCTAGTCGTTTCATATCTGGTCTAAAACCATTACCATCAACTAAGTATCCAAGGCATTCAAAACTAGATACACTAAATGAACACTTATTTGGATTCACTGTAATATTCTTCTCAATTAAACGACGCAATAAAGCAATAAGTCTCTGGTCATGGACTACTTTATCAGCACCATGAACAATGAGATCATCTTGATAAACTTCAACACCTTCAATATCGCTGACTATCTTATTCATGACCTCTTGAAATATGGCTGGAGAACAACTAAGACCAAATGGAAGGAAGTTGTATTTGAACAGACCAAAAGGAGTGTTAATTGTTGTCAAGATAGATGAAGATTGATCTAAAGGAATTTGAAGATAAGCATCTTTCAAGTCAACTTTCGAGAACACTTTAGAACCATGAAGCCGATTTAGAATATCTTCAGCCTCCATCGTCGTGCATGTTTGCTTCAACAAACGGGAGTTCAGTGTCAATCTGTAATCACCGCATATTCTAGGGGTCTTGCCATCCGATTTCAATGGCGTAACAATAGGAGTACCCCATGCTGAGGACTGAACTGGTTCAATTATACCTTTCGCACACAAATCATTCAGTGACTTATGTACTGCTTCTCGAAGACCATAAGGAATTATTCGTCTTTTAAGAAAGACCGGATCACCCTGTACTTGAAGTTTAATGGGCTGAATTTTCATACCTCCACTACACTTAGCACACACAGCTATCAAATCCTTGAGTAAAGCATCAGAATTCTCTGTAGAAACTAGTAGAGACAATTCCACTTTAAGCCTTTTCAGATTTTTTAAACCCAGTATGGACAGTCCTGTTTCACTAACTAAAAATTCACAAGGTACGTATGAAGAATTATCATCTCTTATTAGCAATTTACAACATCCTCTTATAGGTAGTCTGTGTCCAGTAATCCCCAGTATTGAGACCTCAGTGGGTTTTACCACAACATTAGGATCTAAAGATTTCAAGTTCTTGAATGAAATAATGGACTCTATACTACCTGTGTCCACAATAAAGTCATGAAATGAACCAAGGGATGTATATAATCGCTTTTGAATATGAACATTCCCTTTTGAAGTAGTGGATAAAGATAAATGATCATCAAGAACAGCCGAATTATTGGGATCTAAGTTACCAGACTTAGTAATACTTGAAGCAAAGTGAACAGTAGTTTTGCACACTGACTGAATGTGTCCTATCTTGCCACATTTAAAACATTTAGCATTACGAAATGCACATGAATTACGAAAATGAAATTTGCCACAAGATAAGCATTTACCAAACTTATTCTCACCTTTGTTGTTTGCTTTGCAGTTCCTTGTTAAACCACCTTTCATATTTCCACGGGAATAGCAATCACGATTAAACGAACGCAAATTTGATCGACCCTGAGATTGTAATTCATCATGACGACTAAGCAAAGTATTAGAAATTTTCATCGATTGAATATCAAGTTCATTCACTGCTTCGTAGTTAATACATGCAGTTCTAGCATCTTGAAAAGAACAGTTCGGCATTCTTAACAGCTCCTTTTCCAGACCTGGTATGTTAATTCCAGCAATTAACCGATCTCTCAACTGTACATGAAGCTGATCACCAAAATTGCATTTGGCAGCTTGTCTTTGCAATTCAAGGATGAAGTCTTTAACCTTCTGGTTATCCTGACGAATCATCTTATGAAATTTTGCTCTCTCACGACACTCAAAACTGGTGCACTTCACATGGTTTAATAGTAATTCCTTGAGAGTTGTATATGGGAGTGAAATGGGCTTATCTGGATATGCCAAGGTTTTTAATAAACTGTAGGCTTCTTGACCGATGAATGTAAGAAAATGTGCCACAATTTTGTCACCCTTCATATCTTTCTTGGTCATGCTCCATATCTCAAACCTTTCAAGGTAATCCTCACAAGCTTCAGAAGTTGAATGAATGTCCAACTGTTGTATCGCAGGCTCCATCGCGACGCCAATATGATAATTAGAAGTATTTGAATTGTAGTATGAACTAGTAATCCCAGGAATAACGCAATTTAATCAAGAAGTATCAAATGAGCCCGAACGAATGTATTGTATTTGGAATTCAAAATTACAACAGTCATCAATACTAAGAAGTCATTGATTTATTTAAACATCACATCCGCCACAGCTCGAATTGGAGTGTAAGTGTCTGTAATCGATTGTTCGTCCTCTTCTTAAGTTCATCTTACATCTGTCCGACGGTGTATTGGATGTAGACTCTGTATTATCTAGAATGCACTCATTAGTATTAGAATTAACAACCGAAATTGGAACAGACTCACCTGGATTCTGGTATTGTATTTGATCAACGTGTCGGTTATGTATGGTCAAGTCATTGATATCCAGAATTCGCACCATAGATTTTCCAACATTCTTCACCACGATCCCCGTGGCTGGTCGAAGATCATTACCACGATAATACGTAACTTCTGCAGACTCCAAACACCTCATATTCGAACGGAGAATTCTTCCTTTTAATAGCTTTGATGGAGTCTCTTTCGTCACAGAATGCTTAGCATTTCTATATTGAAGTAGAAATGTATCTACTCCCCTCTCCAGTTCATTGAATGTCGAAGCAGCAATAGAATCAATAGCAATTTTCAATGTTCTTACGAAATTTTCTGCCTGACCATTGGAACAAGGGTGCCTGGGAGCCGTAAACAGATGTCTGCACCCTATACCATTTAACCAATTAGTGACTGCATCTGCAGCAAAATGAGAGCCATTATCAGTCACCAACACCATGGGAACTCCTTCTCGACTAAACACCTTCCTTAATGCTTGAATTGTGAAGTCAGAATTCGGTGAAGTTGTGAAAAAAACTTCAGGCCACTCAGAAAAAGAATCAATAATTACAAGTGCATAGTATTTGCCAAGAAATGGACCACAGTAGTCTGCATGAATTCTCTGCCAGGCCTCAGACGATACTGGCCATGGAGTCCACTTCGAAGGCAGACTTTTTAGCTTATGACATTTCTCACAATTGTTTGCTGTACGACATATATCTGCATTTATCTCTGGCCACCAACATGTGAGTCTTGCTAAGGACTTCATTTTCTCAACACCAAGATGTCCACTATGAAGATCATCAAGGACAGGTTTGCGTAATGAAGGAGGAATAACAACACGATCATTTAAACACAAAATACCGTCAGGAGTAGTAGATAACTCGTCCCGCTTTGAATAATAGACAGGAAATCTACGTTTCAGATTAGCATTCCAACCCTTCCGTATAGCACTGAGTATACATCCAAAGTATCTACGAGTTTCTCTAATGAGATCTGGACGTCTCACCGGTAAAGGTTGCACTAACAAGCAGTCTGAAGTATTAACAGGTCTATCTTGTAATGGTTGTCGAGAAATGTAATCAACGTGTTGAATTTGTTTTGCACTCCTGTGCTGAATCGTATAGTCATAAGCACTCAAAGCAATACTCCATCGTTGAACCATAGCAGCTGAGGAACGTGCTAAGGATTTGTCAGGATGATAAATGAACTTTAAGGCTTCATGATCAGTAACAATGGTAAACTTCTTTCCAAATAAATATTTATGAAGTCTTTTAACAGCCCAAAACACAGCTAACGCTTCTCGCTGCGTTTGTGAATAACCTTGTTCAGCAACAGAAAGTTTGCGTGAAACACATATAACTGGCCTACCTTCCTGTTCCAAAACTGCACCAATACCTACAGGTGACGCATCAGTAATAAGAACAGAATGTACACTGGGTGAGTAAGTTCGAAGGACAGCATCACTTTGAAGAAACTTTAGCAGACTTCGTAGGCATGACTCTTGTTCTTCACCCCATTTGAATGAATTGGATGTCAAAATATTAAATAAACAATTGGCACGACAAGAAAAATTAGGAATAAAACGAGAATAGTACTGAAGAGCACCCACTAGTGAACGTAATTCTGTGATGTTTTTTGGAGACGGTGCATTTGTCAGTGGAGCTAGTCGTTTCATATCTGGTCTAAAACCATTACCATCAACTAAGTATCCAAGGCATTCAAAACTAGATACACTAAATGAACACTTATTTGGATTCACTGTAATATTCTTCTCAATTAAACGACGCAATAAAGCAATAAGTCTCTGGTCATGGACTACTTTATCAGCACCATGAACAATGAGATCATCTTGATAAACTTCAACACCTTCAATATCGCTGACTATCTTATTCATGACCTCTTGAAATATGGCTGGAGAACAACTAAGACCAAATGGAAGGAAGTTGTATTTGAACAGACCAAAAGGAGTGTTAATTGTTGTCAAGATAGATGAAGATTGATCTAAAGGAATTTGAAGATAAGCATCTTTCAAGTCAACTTTCGAGAACACTTTAGAACCATGAAGCCGATTTAGAATATCTTCAGCCTCCATCGTCGTGCATGTTTGCTTCAACAAACGGGAGTTCAGTGTCAATCTGTAATCACCGCATATTCTAGGGGTCTTGCCATCCGATTTCAATGGCGTAACAATAGGAGTACCCCATGCTGAGGACTGAACTGGTTCAATTATACCTTTCGCACACAAATCATTCAGTGACTTATGTACTGCTTCTCGAAGACCATAAGGAATTATTCGTCTTTTAAGAAAGACCGGATCACCCTGTACTTGAAGTTTAATGGGCTGAATTTTCATACCTCCACTACACTTAGCACACACAGCTATCAAATCCTTGAGTAAAGCATCAGAATTCTCTGTAGAAACTAGTAGAGACAATTCCACTTTAAGCCTTTTCAGATTTTTTAAACCCAGTATGGACAGTCCTGTTTCACTAACTAAAAATTCACAAGGTACGTATGAAGAATTATCATCTCTTATTAGCAATTTACAACATCCTCTTATAGGTAGTCTGTGTCCAGTAATCCCCAGTATTGAGACCTCAGTGGGTTTTACCACAACATTAGGATCTAAAGATTTCAAGTTCTTGAATGAAATAATGGACTCTATACTACCTGTGTCCACAATAAAGTCATGAAATGAACCAAGGGATGTATATAATCGCTTTTGAATATGAACATTCCCTTTTGAAGTAGTGGATAAAGATAAATGATCATCAAGAACAGCCGAATTATTGGGATCTAAGTTACCAGACTTAGTAATACTTGAAGCAAAGTGAACAGTAGTTTTGCACACTGACTGAATGTGTCCTATCTTGCCACATTTAAAACATTTAGCATTACGAAATGCACATGAATTACGAAAATGAAATTTGCCACAAGATAAGCATTTACCAAACTTATTCTCACCTTTGTTGTTTGCTTTGCAGTTCCTTGTTAAACCACCTTTCATATTTCCACGGGAATAGCAATCACGATTAAACGAACGCAAATTTGATCGACCCTGAGATTGTAATTCATCATGACGACTAAGCAAAGTATTAGAAATTTTCATCGATTGAATATCAAGTTCATTCACTGCTTCGTAGTTAATACATGCAGTTCTAGCATCTTGAAAAGAACAGTTCGGCATTCTTAACAGCTCCTTTTCCAGACCTGGTATGTTAATTCCAGCAATTAACCGATCTCTCAACTGTACATGAAGCTGATCACCAAAATTGCATTTGGCAGCTTGTCTTTGCAATTCAAGGATGAAGTCTTTAACCTTCTGGTTATCCTGACGAATCATCTTATGAAATTTTGCTCTCTCACGACACTCAAAACTGGTGCACTTCACATGGTTTAATAGTAATTCCTTGAGAGTTGTATATGGGAGTGAAATGGGCTTATCTGGATATGCCAAGGTTTTTAATAAACTGTAGGCTTCTTGACCGATGAATGTAAGAAAATGTGCCACAATTTTGTCACCCTTCATATCTTTCTTGGTCATGCTCCATATCTCAAACCTTTCAAGGTAATCCTCACAAGCTTCAGAAGTTGAATGAATGTCCAACTGTTGTATCGCAGGCTCCATCGCGACGCCAATATGATAATTAGAAGTATTTGAATTGTAGTATGAACTAGTAATCCCAGGAATAACGCAATTTAATCAAGAAGTATCAAATGAGCCCGAACGAATGTATTGTATTTGGAATTCAAAATTACAACAGTCATCAATACTAAGAAGTCATTGATTTATTTAAACATCACAAATACACAGATAAATACGCGTTGATATGTGTAATTAACACATTTGATTCACCTAGGCTTGATTCACTTGCGAAACAACCAAGTGGAAAATATGTATCTGCCTCATACCCAGTAGGACAATCTTGTATTCGGTTTGAATTTTCTGCCTTTGCAAACTTCATATCTGGGCAAACTGGTACTCTGATTGTTTCGGGAAAACTTGCTATTCCCTCTGATTCATCATACCACTGACTAGGGATTCTACTCAACATACATCGTTCGTGAGAATATCCAACATCTGACACAATAACGTCAGAAATGTGACTAGAATTCGACCCATTTGGAACATACTTGTCACATTCATTAGGAATACCATTAGAGATAAATTCATTGTGAGGACCACTAACATTTGATATGATATCAGAATTTTATTCTTTTGAAATATTTTCTTCAAATGTATTAGGACTTTCATTAAAGTATAATGGATAATTAGAAAAATCAGCATCTGTCAAAAATGTATGAGATTTTCATCATGATTTGATTCACTCAACATAGTTCCTCCGGTTCCTTAGACATCTTATTAGAAGTATGTGAATCATTATAACAAACCATCTCTGGTATAAATGGCGTCGAGTCGTGATTGACTATGATCACCACTGCAGGAAAATTACGTGCCAAGTATCGACTTGTGTCCCTCAGTAGGCCAAAAACTAGTAGGTTGTTAATGATTGCAATAAGGTATGTTTGTTGGCGATGTCATGGCATACAGAAGATTACAAGCGGAACTGCTGAGTGGAAGAGAGTTAGTGCAAGGTCACAGGCAACGGAAGGAAAAGTGTGTTTGGCACAGTTGAGCAGACAAGTACAGTAAAACAATCACTGGTAAAATTGGTCATAAAAATAATTGTTTCCATTACACCAATAGCGTTCTCGTCATAAAAGTAGGTCACTACACAATAACCCGAGAAATATGATAAGGAGTTGGTTGATTAGAAACATTTGTCTCACACTGATTCTTGATTTCGTTCAACTCTGGACTGTTATGTGACGTTATACCTCTTCTAGAAGTCTCGGATAAAGATAAGTGATCATTGGGAACATCCAACTTAACAGGATCACAGTAGCAAATTTTAGCACTAGTTTGAGAGAAATGAATCATGGTATTACAAACTGACTGAAAGTGCTCAGTTTTACCACATTTAAAGCATTTACAATTACGAAATACACATGAATAACATGGGTGAAACCTTACACAGAACAAGCATTTACCAAACTTGTGCTCATCTTCGTGGACTATTTCACAATTTAATGAACTGCTATCCGAATAACCCTGATTTACTTATTGGACTGCGACGACGTAGTAAAGTAGTGCAGTTCCTGATGTCCTGACGAATTATTTTTTGAATCTTTTCTCCTTTATTGCGTTTGATATATGTATACTTTACATGGTCCAGTGGTAGTTTCTTGATAGTTGCATAAGGGAGTGAAATCCGCTTGTCTGGAAATGCCAAAGTCTTTATTAAGCTGTATGATTCTTTTCTGATGAATGTAAAGAAATGGACCACAAAATTAAAATCCTCATCATCTTCCTTGGTAATAGCCCATATTTCGAACCTCTCCATGTACTCCTCAAAAGCATTAAAATCTGAATGTATATCCAACCGTTCCATCACGAGCACGAACGAATGTACTGTATTTGGAATTCAAAATCAAAGCAGTCATAAAATACATGGAATTATTAGTTCATACAAGCAACACAGTAACCTATGGTGATTAGAAGTATTCGAATTATTGTATTAACTATGAATTCCCAAAACAGTGCAATTGAAACCATATAGAACTAGGTGGACACAAACGAACTTATTGTATTTAGAATTCAAAATAAACCAGGAATCAAGTACAAAACAGTTATTAGATCATAGAAACACTACATAACCTCATCTCAGTTATACCATAAACATTGGCATCGAGTGAATGGCGACTATTCATTAAAAAAGTAAATGCAGCATATGAGTTACGGTCCATAATTACGACATAGGTAGGATTTGAAATTCTTGAAGTTTCACTAGACAACCAGATTAGTAAGAGTTTGTTAATTAAGTACAAAGTGTTTTGAAATTATTGACAGCTAAAAGTAGCACAAGAGCTACGGGTGATCATAAGTTTTAAAGTATGATTCTCAAGAAGTCATATGCTTTATGAAATCATTTTCTCTCACCTTTTCTAGACATCAGATCATATAGATGTTACAAAGTTATTTCGATGAATTAGTGGACTCACCAATTCAGTTCATTTTGTATGCTACATATGGTTTCTTAAACAAGTGAGACATGCTTCGACTAACTACATTTATAGCAATATTTGAAGCTAATATTCACATATTTTCTATAATAATAAATTACCAAACGTTTATTTGAAAAGCAAACTTTTATTCTGCCTTATCTATTTTCACAATTTCATTGCAATTAGTCAACCGAAAAGTAGTAACCTATATATCAATCCTTTTAGTGATTTAAAATTTTACATTAAACTTGTCTCTCTGTTTTGTTTATGTCATGAAATGGCTACTTAACAGGTTCATAATAATTCATCTACAAGTAGCACAAACTGTCACCTGCGAGTGATATTTGTCCGCCTTCTGTATCATCACAACTAAAATAAAAGCAAAAAGTAACAGTTAGACCAGGAAATAATTCTTATACTTTGGAAGTATATCGATTACTCAACCACCTTCACATTTTGTAGTAGCAATGACTAGCTAGAAAAGGTAGACTCTTTATAATCTTCCGTATAGAACTGATAATGTCCATCTTCTAAATATCATACGACCATATACTAACAAAAAATATTACTAAAGCTCTTCATTCTATCTGACTGTAATGAAGACCTGGAAATGTGCCTTATAATGTGAAAATATAACTTTACACACTTAGCTATGGTGATTTTAGCTTTCGTGAGCTTGAAATCGTTGATAGTCATTTTCCTGGAAACTCCTCCATTCACATATATCAGTAATTTATCAAACGATAATAACTATTTTCGTACCTGCATCATTTTATCCTACCCAGCAGCGGAAAACCTAATGATTCCTAGATCATAAACTTTCTTTGAAATCTGCTCGAATGCTTCAGAAACATTCCGATATATTTTAGGTGATATTAATACAACTCCAAAGCAACATAGAACTTTAACTAAGAGTTAAAAACTGAAATTCAGTCGTCTCACTTCCATCATTCATTCAACTGGCATTATAATACGTCTATCGTTCTATGTCTTTAGTGATATTTAGTCAACTTCCCAGACTGCTGAATTTTACTCACCATTTATTTTCTTTGAAACGTCTCCTCATTAGTTTGAAACACTTAAACAATTTTTACTTTATGAGATTCTTTTTCTTCTGCATATTTATTTTGGCACATCAAGTCACATTAATAAAGACTTTGTTAGTAAAAATAATTTACTAGTTACAATTTATGTAAACATTAAAAAGATCACTTTTTGGCCAATATTGTTACTTCTATCAAGTGCGTCTAATATTTTTTTGCTAGATTCACATTTGTAACTACAAAATGGACAGCCTATTGATCAAAGTTTCAAAACGGTAATGACGAATAATTGAAGTAACTGATTACTTAACAAAAATAAAAGCTGTAGTTTGTCAATTTCATATTGTTTATAGCAACCATCAGCATAAATTGTTAGTGCTAAGGTCACTCTTGGAAAATCAATAATCACGTGGTATTTGGAACTCAATAATAACGAATTTTGTTTTAATTCATAGTCTGTTAATTTTTGAACAGTAAATCTAGAGAACTATTCATTAAATGATGGATGGTTTGATACTGTTTCGTCGACCCAGGAAAATTGTCAAGTCAAAATTGTCAGAAAATGATAATTATGTTTATAAATCAGGAAAAAAAATGAATATTTCTATCACAAAAAAGAACTCATTTTCAAACAATCATTTACCTATTTCAAAAGATAATTTATTTTCTTCGATTGGAACGAGATTGAATTTCATGAATAAAACTAAAACTAAACGACAAGAAGACGTTACAAATCTTGTCAACAATTCATTTGGTTGTCTTCTTATAAAAGGTGATATGGCTAATGAAACATCTAGCGGAAAAGGAAAAGCTTCTAATACTCATAATGATAATGAATATCAATATCCAATTGAAATTTGTAATAATTTTCAAATATCTAATCATACCCAAATAACACATGATTTAAAGCAATTAACATCTACTATTACCAAGGGATCATTTTCAGAAAATAATTTTAATGATATTTTACAAATTATTCCTAAACCTATAAAACGTACACCATTATATCATGGTTTAATATTAATAGCTCATGAATTAAGAACTATTTTAACTAAAACTATTGATACAGATATAACATGTTCAATAGAGAAAGTACCAAGAAATTTTCAACAATCATTAGATAAATATCAAATGAATTATGTAATTGTTTTAAAAGAGAAAATGAACTACAATCAGCTCATTTGGTATAAGTAAGTTTTTAATTACATATTTAAATGAATGAATAATTTGTGTTTATTATCTAATTGAAGTTCATCTGAAGATAATACAATGAAACTGATAAGATTTCAAGAGAATCTGAAATCTAATGAATTTTGTCAAAGTAAGTTTCTTAGAAAAGAATATATGATGTACAAATTGAATATATAAAACTAGTTGATAGAAAAGAAAAAATAATAGAAGTGATATAAGATTCAGTTTAGAATTGGAAACTTACTACCTTGATTTTAATTCAAATCTATTTATCTATAAAAAGCATTTTGATATTATAAGCAAATATGGATAGTGGCTAGCAGTGGAATCTTGGACTCGCGTTTCGTTCTATTTAGAACTCATTAGCTGGATGAAACAGCATCCAAGAATTGATATTCACTCCAGGACTCCGAGGCTTGATAGCCACCTGCTCGGTAGCTAGGTGGATAACGTGATGACGTTTGAAGTGAACAGTGCTAGGTTCAAGTCCCGCAGTGAACATCAATTCTGGGATGCCAGTTCATCCAGCTGACGAGTTCCAAATAGGATGAAACGCTAGTTCTGGATTCCACTGCCAGTCATTACTAATCTTTGCTTATAAAACTTGTGACTTGAGGCAATATGCACAGGATGCACATATGCCAACAATAGGCTGATGAATTGCAATCCTAAACAACAATGAGAAGATACAAGCAAACAATACCAAGTGAATTATTATGGTATTAATTTGGTGGAAATTATACAAATATCTATGTACTTTTCAATAGATTTTCTAACTATTCGAATTCATTTCTTTAATAAACAAATGTAAGTAGAGTGTTAGAATATTGGACACATTTACTAGTTGGCATTTACATACATTAATAAATAGTAATATTTTTAAGTTTAATGGTCATTTTCCGGTATAGATTATTTAAAACTTTATAGGACAAGACAGAGAAGTTTATTGACCTACCGAAACGTTCAAGAAGTTTGAACTAGAATATAGTATGTAGTGTTCAAAAACATGTTTCATGGTCTTTCACACGGATAATTTCTTAACCAATTGGAGAACGAAAAGAAACGGTTATTCTTAAATTAAGAGTCAACAAGTAGTTTCATAACATGAATCAAAGGATGTGGTGGTTAGTAAGTATCATGAAACTAAACAGATTTAGTTTATTTATCGCTCGTAACCTAACTGAGATATTTCTAGTTGTTATCAGAAACTGAAAACTTATGCTCTAGTATGTGCTTAGTTTTATTTTAGTAGGTCATGGGTTATTTTCAGCACATTTCTATTACTGTACGTAAATCTCAGAAACACATTAAAGTATCGTAGTGTTTCAGATGTTTGAAACATAGTAATGTTGGTTTCTAAGGTAAGAAAATTGGTCAGCCTATTTCGGCGTGTGTGCCTTTTGAATAATAAGATGAAAATGAATAGAGCTAAGGAAATTTTTAACCCTGAAGTTCACACTTGGCCACCAACATGAGTCTTAGTACCTTATTTGTAGGAAAATAAGTAAGGTTTAAGATCGTACTGAAGATACCAGAGTGCATACTCAACAATATTTAACATATAGGTTGAATTACATTCTCACTAAGCGAAGCCTTGTCTTAATGCAACAATAACTGGTTTAAATGCCGTGCAAAAAAACAAGTATTAAAATACGAGCGGGGAAGATAATCAATCGATTACAGAGACAGTAGCATCAGTTAGTCTTGTTAGTAGACCATATTCATCAACAAATAAACCGTGAAAACTAATGAAGTTAATGAAAGTAGATGGATATTTATAAAACGCTTGAATTGAATGTGGTTGAATGGGTATCGAACACCATTTGTTCTTAAAGTTAAATAGTGATAAAATAAATTCCAGATATTATCACTTCGAGATTTTTAAATAGATAGAGCTTTCTGTAAGATAAAGCTTGACAAAGTCCATAATAAAGGACGATAACTTCATACACTGCTTCTCTATAATGACTGGGTAATTATGAGACATTTTTGCAATTCGATCAGTGCTTCGATATGTAACATAGTTTCAGGTAGTTTTGGTTTACAAAGCAACCAATCGTTTTATCGCAATTTTTCAAAACATGACTATCAATCGCGAAGTTATTCACCCGGTCACTTTAGAAAGAGAGAATAAATATTCCAGTAACACCAGTAATCAGTAATACAGTATATTAAACTTTGGTTATAGACATTTCAACATCCTGCTAGTTGATTGATTATATTACTACATTTGGAAATGAAACCTTAATCCTTCAGGTTTTAGTTATAAAACTATTCAAGTTTGAAACACATTTGTTTATATGGTAGCTTTTCTAATTGTCAAATTTAAAAAAGTAATAATTCCGTTAAGTTCGTCCTATTTATTGATGGTCAATTAATGGTAATGATTTTCACGAAAATCTTACAGCAACATATATAAAACCCGAACAAGTCAAATTGTTGGATTCATATTACTCAGGAGGCCATTCTGTTACTTTGGAAGCTTGTCAGTTGAAGTATTTACCAGACTTATCTGCATTTTATGTGACGCTGAGATTCCTCAATCTTTCTAGGAATTACTTAGAGGTAAGAGTAGCTGTTCAATATATATATATATATATATATATATATATATATATATATAGCTGAAAATAAGCAATAATCTACTAGTTGAATAGTTTATCTTCAACCATTTGCTCAAAGTTAATAATAAATAAATTTTTTGTTATATCTCAATGAGTAGAAAATTTGTATTTCTGACGTTTCGTGACTTAATGTAAGCCACTTCTTCAGAACAAAGATTCAGACCTTACTCCAGCTAAATTGGTTTGGCAGCTGGACGGCATTATTAGGTTTAAAATAAGAAGTATAATGTCAAGTCGATGATATTAATTTGGTAAGTGAATCTCAGGGGAGTTGACAGCCTTGAAAATCCTGTTTCGGTACATGTGATCCGTGAAATATTATTGAAGTAATAAAAACCTAAAAGAATGAAGCATATGCTTAGCTAACAACTTAGATCACAAACAGACATCATATTATATAATACAGTGACTAATGTTAATCCATAATGACGTCCATTTATAGCTATAAGGATATGTTTCACGTAACTAGCTTCTTTTGCAAATTTAAACAATGCAAGAAATGAAATTTTTATGAAACTTATTTTTGTTTTAGCTTGTTATTTTCTACATCTACAACACCTAGAAATTAGAAAGCAAACAATTAGGTAAATTGTAAAACTGTGATGTGGTTTAAATCAGAGTTTTGATGGAGTTTTTGTAAGTTATTAAAGCGGTGATTTTGGTATACTGCAGATATGGGAGATTATATATATATATTGCAGATAGTAATCGCATTATACAACATAATCAAAAGTTTTTGAGAACATATGGTGAAGAGAAAAAAGCTTTCGACTCAAGGTCACTGTATTGTAAATATATTCACTATGAAATAATGAAAAAAACATTCACACTGTACATTTCTATCAACTAAAAATGTCAGATGTTAACCTTTGAGTATTTATGGTTTCTGCAAATCTTAGTAAAGGAGCTTATTGTCACACCGACACTTTTATGCCTAGTTCTTTACTTTTCTGTGATAAAAGCGCTAGCATATTTTATATATTTGTCATCAGGAAACGAGTCTTTATAGAATTAGGGAGAAAACTATATTTTTAAACATCTCAGCGATTGAATTAAAAGTAATTCTAATTTTATGCTCACTAGTCTGGTCCAAATTTTTCCTAGGAATCACTTGAAGCAGATTGTTGAGCATAACGTTTAATAGCTGAAATATTTATAAATATGATTTCCTTCTTTCTTATGACTGAAATCAAATCGGCGTCCAACTACTATGAAATTATTTGTTTAAATTTAGACAAGTCTTTATAAATTATTTTTCGATCAAATTCATTTTTTAATTTTATAAGTTCATGCTTATACTTGGGTTAGGATAATTATATATTACACTGAGTTTAATGTTATATCTCGTGAACCGCCTAGATGCCCTGTTAATGTATAATGTGATAATACCGCCAATTAGAAAGCAGTGAATTATCGATCGGACCAATGATACACTTGTCGGTTCTGCCTTCTGCCTAGCCCAGCCAGTTACGTCCAAAACACCAATCTCAGCCTCTGCGGTATAAATCGCTATATTTCAAACACACTGAGTTGATATACCAATCAAACAGACCACATCGTACCATAAAATAGAAAATAATATTTGTCCAAGATTTGGCTAAATGTGGCTGTGAATGAGGGAGATAGTAAATAACAGACAGGGCATAATTCAGGAATGGTAAATCATATAACAATAGTTTATACTTCTAAATAAAGCTTTCAACAAGGGGAACATGAATATAAGTAGTTTAGTTATTTAGCAATCATAAGATTAAAAATTATTTACACAGTATTGGCTCATAAATGGATCCCCAAAGTTAACATTCACTATTCCTAACGGGACATAACATTTAACTATCAGTTTCAATTAAAAGAGAATAAATTTTTTTAATTTTGATGGAGTTTTGTTCTCTGAGCTGGATGGTTTGGTCGTAGAGCTTTCATCGTCCTTCTGAACGATATCATCAGCACAAACTTTGGGTAGAAGTGAAGTGTTTGCATTTTTCCACATGTGATTCACAGCTTGTCCTGTGCATCTCGATGTTGATTGGTTCTTGTTGACGTTAAACCTGTCATTGTTTATTTTTTTTGTTTTGGTTTGATTTTTGTTCCTATGTTTCAGAAACATAGGCTGTGAATTACATGTGGAGAAATTCATACACTTCACTTCTACTCGAAGTTTGTGTTGATGATGTCGTTTAGAAGGACGATGAAAGTTCCACAATCAAACCATCCAGTTCAGAGAACAAAACTTCATCAAAATCACTCATCTTAGCTACAAATCTTCTCTACCATATCAAAATTTCTAAATCTATTAATCATTTCACCTCAGTTGTCAGTCAATCAGAATTTATATTTAACAAAGAAAATGATATTGAAATATAAGTACTGGTATTATCATTAATATAACTGTTTTTTCCTTTACCAAAAATTTAGGACCTTCCAAATGATTTTTGTTTATTAAACAATTTGGAATTTTTATCATTACGTTCTAATCCTTTACGTAAAATACCTAAATCAATTATCAAATTAAAACAATTAAAATCATTGAATTTATCTTATTGTTTAATTGAACATTTAACTTATGAGTAAGTGATTAAATAATATTCATTTAAATTTCTAGTGAAATAATTAGAATTTTAAATTGTTGTCATGCAAATTTACTATAATCTTATCTTAACATAGTGCTCACACTATCGAGTCATCTAAACTAGTAGTCACATGATAACTTGGTCGATAGTATTCGATCTGCACTTAGAAGGACCTGACACATATGATATTGATTACTACCTAATGATCAATCAATCGTGAATACTATGTGTTTATATATTAGTTTGTGTTATTATTAATTATATTTCTCTCTAACATTTGTATTAAAAACTTTTTCTTTGTTTTCGTATATTATTTGATCACCTGTGAGGTAAAACTTTCTCTTCAACTTGGGTGGTTTAATAGAGATTTTACTTTAATCAAAGGTAACTTTTATCACAAACTGACAATAAATTCAAACTCACGGTGAATCTTGTACAAGTGAATCAGTGGAACTCAACTGCTAAACGAAATTGTGTCTTTCAAGATACTTGGAAGTTTCAGATTACATTCTGTATATTGTAGTGAGTTGAGTTAATCAAAAAGTTTAAAACTAGAGGGGAAATAACAGTCGGTTGTTTGCTGACTATCAAAAGTCCTGTAGATGTCATTCTTTGGTTCCTTCCCGTTTAATCATTTACAGATGTCTTGAATAATTTCACTAACGAATTTAAGAAACATTTGTTGACTGGATTTTTTCTTTCCTTAAGAATGTAATGATAGTACATATGATATATAAAAACAGTTTGTTATACTAATTAGAAAAATCCCTTTAAATTTGAATATTCATCATATATGTAGTAGAAACGCTCCGGAGGAAAAAACGAACAAAGCTATGGTTTGGAGTAGATTACCATCTAGAAACGGTATGTTAGTTTATTGAAATGTAGGTCTTTATTGGATTACGTGATTCAGAAACGTGTTGAATACTATCAGTTACCGGTCAACACACTTTGTTGTCTTGTATAATAATAAGTTAGGAAACTCTCGACAACGGCATAATAGGAACGTAACTCCAGTCCTTGAAGTCGGTGTTTTTCAGTTTAAATCGCACCATTAAGTGAGGACTTTCTGGTTTGGCATAAAAACAATCGTAATATATGATTGCAATTGTCAACGAGGATGTGTTTCATTCTTTTATCTCATTTATTCTTTGCATACAATGTTTCTTTGAATCCACTGATTCTTCTCCTCTTAATTTCCTACCTCGTTATTCTGCTATGAGATATGACAACTCGGACATGTATGTATTCATTTCAGATAATATACTGTCTATGAATGATCTGTAAGTAAATTATTTTCAACCGGTTCGCTCATTAATTTTAACAATAAAGTAGAACTTTCGTAATTTCTTCCGGTATCTTTTTTTTCTTTTGTCAAATACTAAACTAACAGTTCTAGTAATCAATACCATTTCTTCAAACGTTCGTACATCACTTCTCTTTTTCGTGAAGAACGACCATATGGACTCTACGGAAACTATTGTTGAAGTTGTCTAAATTTTGTCATGAGCCTCATACTTTGGAGGAAATTTTAATCCCATAGTATTTCATATTTTATTCTACCTAATTCCTGGCGTACATTTTGTCCGGATTTTATGGTCTAATAAAGAAGTAATAATCGTCTTTTCGTTAATATTATGGTATAGAAACAAGCTTCAGCAATTCTTAAAATAGTAATGATGAATTTTAACAATTCAGAAAATAATTTTTATAAACGAATGAACAAAACAATAACAATACAAAGATTTTATACAATTATTCAATCTTTTGAGGTTTTATCTAAGTTTTTATGTTTGTAAACAGAAAAAGCAATGACAAATTTGTTTTAGTGGTTATAGAACACATCACTTCATCAATACCGGTGGACGTTTGGGAGACTCCACTTTGTTTACGGGTAAGTTTAGGGAGGTTTAGTGTAGCTCAGTCATCTCATGCACCACTGGACATTCGATTTGTGACATACTAACTGTACACCACTGAATTTAACTTGTTTTCTTGTTAGATTGACTGAAAATTTTACATACATTTTCTTCAAAGTTTATATATCACGAGATGTTTTCCGATTTAGTCTACTGCTGCAGTGTATTTGAATTATAATATTTCCTAAACATCTCATATTTGAACTGATAGCATTAATGATGAGTCGTTCAGCAGTGTGACTGGCCTCAGAAAATACGTTGGGACTTTCTACATTTGAAGATCACGCTCAAAGAAATGTTTTTGTCGAAGGGTTTGGGTTGATCAGTGTTATATATATAACTTAAACAGAAAGAATTAAGCATTCGATATGCTTAACACAATAATTTGCACTCACTTGATAAAAAAGGAATTTTACTTATTATTTAAACGTTCTGAAGACTACACAGATGTATTTTTTGCTGCTTGTTCTACGTGATACAGGATAAAAGTTTTTCATTTTTGAACTTTTCGCAAAATCTCAGAGGTCATTCTTTTCGATTCTGATCGGTTTGATTCTGTAATATAATTTATTACATTTTCTTCAAGTTTCATGATTATCATATGTGTTATTTAAAATGAATTAATGTATCTAACACTTACTGATCAAAAATTAATTTAAATTATATTCATTTAAATATAGTTGTAAAGTTCATAGAGAAAGATGATAAAAATTTTCATTTAACTGAACTCTGAAGTCTGTTCAGTAAAATATTTTATAAATAACGAGTATAATTTGAGAATACAAAATCAACCAGTTTTAGTTATGTTGAGGACGTTAGATCCTCAGAAATCAATTGGAAAAGGTCCTAATTTTGTAAATTTATTCTGAAAACTTGAATTTTATGATTTCGTGCAATGAGACACTTAGTTGATCTACAGCTAACATTTTCCATTCGGAAATTTTCGCCTGTCATTGGTTGATGGATTTTTTTAGTATGCTATTTTGTGGCTCTCCAAAGGGCGTTTCTATCATTTTATAAATGAGCTTGATTTGTGTGCTTAGTGACCTCGTATTTTCTGGGTGCTTGTAGAATACATTCTCTACGCCTCATCAAGACTTCTTAATCTAGTTAGCAGGGCCGGAGACAACGGATTAGAATAGCCTATCGTGTGACTGTATCTTTGACCTTCGTTTCGTTTACCGAGTAAGGTGAACTAGTAATAGCATCAAGCATATCAATTGAATACTTGAAAGGGTAAAAGTATAATGTACTGATGACCATCAGTAACCTATCAGCCTATCAAGAAACGTTGCATAGTTACAAAATTAATAAAAACATTAGGCGATATAATGACAGTGAAATAGTGTCTTTTTTCTTAATAATCAACCTTAACATGTGAAATTATTCTTTGCAGTTAAAGAAAAAGATTAAGGTTTGCAGATTGAATGTTGCTACAGTGTTATGAGTTAGAATTACCATCTCATAGAGTTTTAATTACAAATTAACACCAGAGATAATGCAAAAACTTTGGATTTAGAAATTTAGAGTTATTCTGAACTTTTGAGGCAGGTTTACAAATTAGGGATAAGGTTTTCACCACCAACTGACATCAGCTATAGTTCAAATTTTCATCATTCTTCTGTTTACAAACCTATTAAACTTTGGATTGAAACTAAAAGTAAAGATAAGTATAGGATGATATTATCTATCTTCATGGTGCACTTGACTATGTATTGAATCACATCAAGTACTTTACCAAAAATTCAACATTAGGAGCAGTTACTTTTTGTAATTTAGCTCAAGCACCGACACAAATTCACTTTATGGTTGCATGAAAGATATATTTGTTGATTTCAAGCACATTAGGGACCACATATTGCCGATATTTACTTTGTTTATAATAACATAAAAGTTGCCTATCACTGCGCTTCAAATTTCGTGACAGGTACACGACTGATCATCGTAATTCTTATTGACTAACTCAAAACTGTCAGTACACTGTTTTTTTTCCGTTTAAATAGCAAGTTTGTTTGAAAATAACTTGTGAAAACTGAAAATTAATCATATCTTAGTAATAAAGTACAATAATAATTTAAATGGATATATCAAATTTAGGTTAAAAATACAGAAAATACTCAAGTATTATTTTGAGAAACGTGTTTTTAACAGTTTTTTCCAGTTCAATTGGAAAAACATCGGGCACAAAGCAACTATTATTCAGTTAAATCTTCTGCTGTTTGCGGATTGTTATTAAATCCATGATAATGTCATAGGAGCTCACACTTGTCGAATTTCATGCTGAGATAACTTACCTATCCAAATAACCCCAGTTTTTGATAGTTGTCCAGTTAAATTCAATCTGTTATTTAAATAAGCTTGAAATGATTAACTTTATATATATATATATATTGTTTTTAAGTAAGTAATATAGCTTCTAAGAAAAACCGTTGGGCTTTTAATTGTCATTTGAATACACTTTGTATTTAGAATGCATTTGCTCACTGACTTCTTGTCTCATCTCATACCATCAAAATACTTTTCCAAAGATAGGTTTAATAAGCATCCTGTGTTCTGACACTTTCGTCTTAACATTCTATGAGGGATTTTTATATAAAAAAAGATAAAAGTATTAGAAAAGCAAAAAAAGCGTTTGAAATGATTTAATCTATCAAAAAAACAGTCTCAGCACTCCGTATAATTATGATAATATTTTAAACTGTTGAAATTGTAATCTGAACCATATCCTGAAGTTCAATTGTGGAATTTAGACTTGTTCCAAAGAATTTGCGAACTATACCAGAAGCATTAAATGTAAAAAATATATTTGAAACAATCTGAATGATTGAAGAGATTTTTAGATTATTTCATTTCATAATTTTGAACTAGTTTTTCTGGTAAGACATTGGAATTATTTAAATTTCAGTCTTCTTGTTTTTTAGCCGTAAGTTGGTACAAAACAAGGTCCTTCACGGGATACTCACATTCAAACTGGCGCAGTATCTAGCAGTCATGCAAAGTTTTATTAGCCATCATCTTATGATGACTAATTAAGCACTTAAGAAGTCATACCAAATCAAAATGATGGAAGAACGCTTTGTTGAATTGGTTTGAATGAAGAATTGTTATAAACATTGTTTCCCTAGTAACTACATAATTCTTCAGCGAATTTAAAATCCAGTTGTGAGCGGACGAAATTCTCGAATGTATGCTTCATTCAAAATGAACTCAGAGGACGTATTTAACTTTCATTAACATCGAGACCCAATCATGGAGAATTCAAACGTATTTTCCCAAGTTAACAACGAAACTTAATATTATTTTATTGATCACCAGTTGTATTGTTTTGTCTGTACTTTCACTCAAAATGAATTGATCGACTCCAAGTTTTGATTTTTTAGGCCACATGATTCTATATCTGAATGTATCATTTCCGATGTTAAATGATTGGAAATAGTCATCAGAAAGTAGTTGATCCAAGTTTCAAATGAAATATAACTTATATAACTTATATATTATATACGTTGAGTTTGTGCAATCGCTCACTATTATATTCAATGACTTTGCATTTACTCCACTCTGAGCTTAAACTAAATCTGTATATAAATGTAATATTTCTGCATGGTTAATTTACTAGGCTATTTGTTCTGTGAAAGTGTTTAGCAATTTTGTAAAATCTTAATCTTACTTTCATTTTATTTGTACAAATTTAATTAATTCAGTCGTTATATTTTTTGTTTTCTTTTCATAGATTTTATAATCTAAAATCATTAGAACAACTAGATCTATCATACAATTGTCTTACATACCTTGATAGTCAAATAAAAAATTTAGAGTAAGTGGTTGAATATTCTATGAAAAAGATTGTGTAACTTCGTGAACTGATACAATCGTGAAGATTAGTTATCTAAGAAAATATCAATAAACATCAAAAGTTAACAACAGATACAACTATTTTCACCACTTTTTACCTAATATAACTGATTGCACGGGTAAAGTATTCATAGAGGATAAGTGATTTATAACTAAGACTAACTATTATTTAACAAAGTACATTCCATTTTGTACAATTTTTCAGTAATTTATTCAAGTTTCTTCTCTTACTTAAATATATGTTCAATAAGATTATTCAGGCAAGAGAATAAATAAAAATCCATAATAATGAGGTATGTAACTCACTGTTGATGAATCGAGATAAGAAAGCTTTGCTCAAAAGTGTTTTTTTATTGTAATAATAATAGTTTTCATCGATTGAGTCCCCCCAAAATATAAGTAGAGGATTGAATGGCTGAGTTAATTAAAGCCAAACATCTTTAATATTTGTCTTCTGACCTCCAATCTAGTTTTCTTCGAAATGAAACTCTTGATAAATCAGAAATATAGCAAATGTTTAAACTAGTGTCAGCTTCTGATCTGACTACTATTAATTTTGAATGAGTTTTGTGAATGCGTTAACTTTTTTTTAATCTTTTTTTGTTTGCAATACGAATCTTATTTTCAGGCATTTAAAAGTACTGAAACTTAGTGGTAATGACCTAACTGGTATTCCTCCTGGTCTTCTATGTTTATGTGAAAAATCTTTGGAAAGCTTAAATTTAAATGACAATCCATTATTATGTTTATTTCCAAAAGAGTTTAAAAATAACTCTTCGATTGAAATTCAATCTTTAAGAGTATTAGCTAGCTTAAAAATGAGAGATCTACTCAATGAAACCAATATAAAAAATGAAGAAAGTTCCAGAGAAAAACCTGAACAGTATATATTGATTACTAATTCAGAGGAGAACAACGCAAATTTTCTTCAGTTTCGGAAAGTTTCTGACAAAGAAGAATCTACTATGTTAAATAAGTTGTTGAATCCGTAAGTTATTTAAATTCTATTACTATGTTTCTGTTATAACTTGTAGCCCGTTTGCCTGTGTGCCCGGTTAATATATGACGTGACGATGCCGCCAATTAAAATACAGTGAATTATAGATCGGACTAGTGACACACGAAACCCGTACAAGCAGTTTAGAGCACTTGTTGATCCTGCTTTCTGCCTAGTCCAGCCAGTTAAGTTCAAAACATCAATAACAGCCTCTGCGGTATGGATCGTTTATTTCAAGTATACTGGGTTTATATACCAAACAGACAGACCACATCGTACAATGAAATGGGAAATAACATTTGTACAAGACTCAGCCCAAAGTGGCTGTGAATGTGGGAGGCAGTAATCAATAGATTGAGGTTAACTCAAGAATGGTAAATCATATAGTAATAGTTCATAGGTCAAAACAAAGCTTATAATAAGAGGGATACGAATATGAATAGTTTAGTTACTTAACAATTATACAATAGGAAATATACATATCATATTGGTCCATAAATAGTCCTCAAAGTTAACATTCATAATTTTCTTCTGGATATAACAGTTTCATTTTGATTAGGTTAAAACAAAAGACATTTTCCTGCAAATAATGAATCTTGTTTGGGTCTATCGTAAGATACATATGTAGGAGGGATAGTCGTATTCAGTCATTATTTAGTTTAAACTAATTAACAGTTCAGGAGTTACGCTACTGAACAAAATGTTAGTAGTATAAAATATTTATGACACTGAGGTCGTGCTGAAAAATGTATCTTTCTTAAGAGTGGAATGAAATTGTGGTTTTGAATTAGGCTTTGTTGTTATAAAATACTTATTCAAGATCAGTGATAACAATGTCATTCATGTCTATCTTAATATATGATATTTTACAATTGAGTCCACCACTTCTTTTCAAAATAAATAAAGGTCAAAGCAGAAGCTTACAGTAATACTTATCAATGAAAACTGTCAATTTTTCTGGAGAATCTATGTAACGTTTATTTTGAAAAGTCACATTAGGTTGACGAGTAAAGATATTAAACCATATTGAAATAATACAATAATTATCATAACTATTATTTGTCATAATAAAAGTATAGTAGTGAACAAAAGCACAACTGGGGACAATCAATTGTATTTAAGCACAAATTACAAACTATCTCACTAAATTTTGATAACCATACAGTAAACAGTTTATTTTCAAAATAACAATCAATCGTCTCAATCTTAACTGTTCCTTATGCAAATATCTGTCCGTCTTCTCTGATTTCTTTGTTCATGCACTTTCGTACCGATTGCGCTTCGTTCCTGTTCGTTCCTTATCGATCTTCTGCCAAACTACATTCTATGTCTGACCATCACCATATACTACTTATATGGACCACACCACAGGATGAATCAAAGACTTAGTCAATAAAATGAACCCATGAAATCTAGATTTTTAACAATAGTGTCTGGTTCAATCTAAGACAAAATTTTTATTGCTTCAATATAAGACTACAATTACATTTATTAATTTTTATTTACATTTCTAGCTCTGGTTCTTGTTGCTGGTGTGGCATGGATAGATATGATAAAAAGAATACAATATGTATGCATTGTGTTGATTTATTCAACTATTCAGCGGTTCCAATATGTATGTTATGCTGTGGAATTCAATGTGCAAAGGAAGTTAAACAATGTAGTACATCTGAGCAATTTGCAAAACGATATTATAAAAGTTATCAAAACTATACAAATAGATAGTTAGGTGAATTGTGTTAGTTTTATAAATATTGGAAAGATATTGCTTTTAGTCATTTAATGAAATCAAACTCATAATCAATTCTGGAAGTTCAAAAGTATAGTGCTAATGTGTTTGACTTTGTTTAGGTTGATAGAGCATAACAAAACTGAAAAAAATTGGTCCACTAATTTAAAGCTAAGATTATTTACAACGTTTTCAAAATATAATAAGGTTTGATCCACATTAGTGGTTGGGATAGGATATCAGTTTTCAGTTCAAGATTTTGGAAAAAAATATTTAGCTATGACTGAGACTAAAAAGAAAAGAAACTACAACAATTTACTTTGTGAAATCGGCTCTTATTGCCTGCAGATGTAGCAGGATATCTTTGGTTCAAATATTCCCTGATAAAATTACCTAAATTGTATGGACAAAAATTTAAAAAGTTAATTAGAAGGCTCTATCCACTTTACTGAACGAACTATTCTTCATGGTATTCACCTCGACACCAACTGTATGTATCACTCGTTATATCTGAAATAAATATCTCATATGATGTAGATTGTGAACTGATCTGTTAGATAACCATTGAAAACCCTGAAGCAATAAACGGTTGTTTCACCCTAGTATGATACTTTTCAATATGTGTCCAAAAAACAACAACCGGGTTAACTTAGTGGCTAAATTCAGAAAAAGTATGTTTGTGTGAAATAGCTGTGTAGCATGAAACTTAACATAAGTATGAATCCGATTTTTAATTGTTCATTATGTTGGTTTAGTACACATATCCCTTTCATGCTTAATTTAATTTAGATTAATCAAAAAACCATTTATTTTTGTGATAGGTTTTTCCATAACATGATGTTATTAACACTTTTGTTTATCTGGATTGATTTCTTAAGTTTCTGTCTAGATTTGCTAAGATTATTAAGAATAAGTCGATTCAATAACTAATAACGATATGCAACATATTTTCTTACATTCTGTATATTCCACAATAGCATCAAAATTGTTTGTTGAAATGTCAATCAATTGACTAGTCATCAACATAGTATGAAACCCAAATGCATTTTACTCTACATAGTTACACTCTGTACTTGCATAGTGAGCTGTCAAAAGGAGAAAAAGTAGATTAACCAAAATATCAAACACAAAGTTCTCTTTAGTATGTTATAGAAAATGAGATCCAAGGCTTGGGCGGAAGGAGATGAATGTATCTAATTATTAGGTTCACGTCTACCTGTAATATTTAGAAATCCAAACTAAAAAGTGGAGGGAAAATAATTATATCAATGAACCTGGGTTAAATTTGTTGTGAGGTTGAATAAAAATTTGTTTTCTAGTGACTGAAACGGGATTCAACTTGTCTTTAGTATTTCAACATTTATCAATGAATTTCTGTGGGTAGCACCTACGCTCAATTTCCATCAGCTCTTCTTCCAGTTCTTCAGTGGTATATATTCTTCCTACCCCACAAAACGATGTTTTAACCAATACTTTCTTATAACTGATTTAACGGAAACTAATAAAATTAAGGCAGAACCTATTATAGATATTTTTGGCAAACCGAACCCTCAACTTTACGGTCATCTCTCCGTTGTGTAGTACCACAAAAAAAGTAAGACATTTTGTCCTTTCAACGTTCATAGTGAACTGTATGTTTGTTGAAAGGTTCGAATATGTGGGTTTCGCTACGTTCACTATTAAAAACAATAAATGTCATTAACGTGTTTGGAATATTTTGACACAGCAACTTTAAACCAAATCATTTTGTGACTCTAATTTTTAAATATTACTGGTTGTAAGAAGCCGAAGAAAACCTATCGGAACGAAATGAATCTATGTTATTCTGATTAAATCTTTTCTTGCACCCCTGAAGCTAAAACAACTACATAATTGGTATTAAAAGACTAAACATACAGACTATAGTTAAAATTCACCAAACGGAATTGGGAGATGAAAAGTATGATATAAAACATAATATAGGTGATTAAAATCATAGTAATCAGGACCACTAGCATCATAATATCATTGGAGTTCTAGTGAGAAGCAGTAACCAGTGGAGTTCAACCAGGTCTGTTGAGTGATATCAACTCACTGAAGACATTGTTGAATGGTTGCTCAATTTCTTGGATTGGTTGAAGTTAGACATTAACACCGTTGGATATCGGCTCAGTGGTCTGTCGGTTAAGTGCTCACGTGCGAGACTTATAGGTCCTGCGTTGGAATCTCGCGAGTCGTGATCGTGGATGCGCAATGCTGAGGAGTCTCACAATAGGACGAAACGGCCGTTCAGTGCTTCCAGGTTTTCCATGGTGGTCTAGCTTCAATTGAGTCATAATCTCAACTACATAAAATTACAAAAATCTCCATAAAACCCCCTTCTGAAAATAGATGTTGTGAAAGAATGACTGATAATATAACGAAAAATGTATAAAAGTACACAGATTTTACTACAATAGAGAACTTATACATCTTTAAAATCGAATCCTCTGTACTGAAATAAAACAATTTTCAATATTGGCAATAACCCATATAACAAAAGATGTTTTTTATTCTGCAACTTTTGTGCAGGTCCAAACAGATTCTTAACCAAACACACATTCCCTTCACGAAATTAGAGCCCTACTAAGGAAATATACAGAATATCATAAATGAATAACCACTTCGTGCCGATGATATAATCTCTTAAGTTACCTCAAAAGTCGTAAATCATCATTATACACGTTTCTGATTGACTGAACATAGTTTCTAATTATAGGAATAAGCGTAGGTGCTTTCTGAAAGTGCACGTTCTGAAGACAATCGCGCTTATGTAAAAATCTACTAACCCAAATTAATATCAACTTTCTTCCTTCGTTACATTTTGTTTTTAGAGATATCCGATTATAGTATTTTGACTAAATTTACTTGACAATCTATGATGAACAATAAGTTTGGCAATATGCATCTTGACGAAAACTAAGTCGACAGTATAGTTTAATTTAACCAGATTACATAATCAGAATGATATCTGACAAACATATGAAATGAAAAGGGAAATTTTTGTTTTGATGAATATTAATATTTCTTCTTTTCCCTTTTCATTCTTCAATTTTAATTTTACTCAAACAAACAAAATTCGTTTAAATAGATTTTGATTATCTGATTAAACGATGAAAGAAGTTTGAACGTTAAGAATAAATATTGAAAATAGTAGTATATCAATGAAAACGATAAAACGTTTCAAAAAATACTGAAAGGAGGTAAAATAAAAAAAAATAAAAGACAGTTATTTCTCTTTTAAGTAATAGTAAAACAAAAACCCCCAACTATTTCATTATATTTGAAATAAATAGAAAATTAGTGTCTTCAATTGTCACTGATCAATATAAGATAATTAGGAAACTTATTGAATTATATGTTCATTGGATATGGTAGAGGCATGCAAAATAACTGTATCTTCTTTCTTACAAAATGTGGTAACTGAAAGTTAGTTTCTGTTAAATCCCAATAACAATAATGAATGGTAACTTTGGGATCCGTTTACGGACCGATATCATGTATATATTTTTTATCGTATAATTGCTAAATAACTAAACTATTCATATTCGTATTTTCCTTATTATAGGCTTTATTTTGACATATAGACTATTATTATACGATTTACCATTCTTGAGTTATCCCCAGTCTATTAATTGCTGCCTACCACATTCACAGCCACATTTGGCTAAATCTTGTACTAATGTAATTTTCTATTTTATTGATACAATGTGGTCAGTCTGTTTGGTATATAAACTCAGTATGTTTGAAATACAATGATTCATACCACAGAGGTTGCTCTGGACTTAACTGGCTGGGCTAGTAGGCTAGGCAGAAGCAGGATCGATAAACACTCTAGACTGCTCGTACGGTTTCCTGTGTCACTGTTCCAATCGATAGTTCGCTGCTCTCTGATTGGCGGTTTTATCACGTCATACGTTAACAAGGCATCCACTCAGTCACAAGTTATAACAGTTTCAAAGTTTTCTAAGATCCAATTATAAATACATTTTGAAATTAAAATGAGAATAAATCAGGGGGTAGGGAATTCTAATTACCTTAAATTAATGGAAAATGTATAAAATCTGTATTGGTTTATGTGTTAACAACAAAATGATAGAAATATATTATTAATAGGATAATCTAAGTGTCATGGATTTCATATTTTCTTAAGCGAAAAATTGTATATCCATCCTTTGTTCTTTCATGAAAGTTATATCTTATTGCATTTCATGAATTTCATGAGTTGTTTAATTTCTATGGGATGAGATTTGTGTTCTTCAGCGTGTTCCATTTTGTACCCAACCTTTTAGTCAAGTATATAAATATTCATTTATATGAAAAGTACTTTTATAATACTCAATTTTAATTAATTAAAATTGTAATACGATTGACAAACATGATAAATATCGAGATAGTATGATGTGTCCTAATGATATCGACAGATATAAGTAGTATGTATCATCAATTGAAAGCGAAATATCTGAAGACAGAAGGTTAAGAAAATTGAAGAAAAGAGAATGAGGACAGAGAACGATTGGTGTGGAAACGAAAGAACAATGAAGTCCTGGACGATTGACTAAGATTTTGCAGATGAAGTGTTTACTGTATGTTTCTCAGATTATACTAAGATATTCTATAATTTTTTAATTCAATACATCCGATTGTTCTCACTTGTTTCCTCGTTCACTTCAATATTGTTCTTGAATTGAACACAATTACAGTAAAGTGATCTCATTTATTGAAAAAGAAACATTAAATTATTTTTTTTAGGAATAATTAAAAAAATTTAAATTAGTAAAAATTATTTTAATTCAAAATTCCCAATGAATTTATTTTAATATATAAGGATGAATTCGTTCAAACTTACACTGTTTACTTTAAGATCATAATAAAGAAATCAAAATAAATAAACAAAAAAGAAAACTTGGAAGCACTGGACGACCGTTTCGTCCTATCGCGCTTCCAGGTTTTCCATAGTGGTCTAGCTTCAATTGACTCATAATATCAACTATATAAAATAATTATAAAATAAACTCCACAAAACCCCCTTCTGAAAATAAAGAAAACTGTTTACTATGAAAATATTTTGTTTCACAAGTATTTGCTTTACAAAGGAAACTCCCTATATCAAATGCATGTTATTATAAAAGTACGTTAAAAACAAAAGAATTAATAAAAAGGAAGGGGTAATATAATAATGAAACAAAACAAGTGGTTGAACTAATTAAAATAAATTCAATTAGCATATGATTACCATTTCTTATTAAGTAGTATTTATAGGTAAATGAATTGTTAAATATATTGATAATTTTGATGGAGTTTTGTTCTTTGGGCTTAGAGAACCTAAACTACAATTTTTCTCTACCATCTCAATGTTGATAATTGTATTTTGTGTTCATTTTAACAAGTTATGCAAATCTCTATTATTATGATTATTCAAAATTTAAATATTTATATACAAAGTTTATGTATCTCTAATAGGTTTTGTATAGAAATAGGTATTTGCTTAATTGGTTTATTAGAGAATATTCAACATTAAACAATACATATTCACTATGGTTATTATTATTATAAACTTTACTCAACATTATATTTTTGGTAGAACATAGAATTCTCAGCACAATATATCCTTTCCTTATTCCTTCATCTGTTTTGACGATAAATATTGAGTGATTACCAGTTAGATGTTAGCAATTCAGGAATCGATATCAGAACAATGATTATTATTTTCAATGCATATTGATATCCACCACAATGTCTGTGATTGTACTTTTTTGTAAGTTGTATGGCGAAAGATCGTAAACTTTTCATAAACGCGCATAAATAAGTTATTTCAATAATAGATATAATGATGTGTTAAAAAAACACAAAAGACAGGTAATTTGTTGAGATATGTTGATGTCAGGAACAGATGGCCCAGATATTCATGCAGGCCATCAAAGTTTATATAGACGAATAAGAGTAAATTTAATGAAAGTACTGTATATTAAATCATGTACTGAAATGATATTACCTTCAAGAAAGAAGGATAAATAGTGTTTTGCAGTTATTATTACGATTTGTATACTAACTAAACATCTATTTCATTGCAATTTATAATCATTCGAGGAAAGTTTAATTAAAAGACTCATTATTCATAAATAGCCAATATACATCACTTAAAGTATGATATTTTTGCGAAAAACACGTTGTATTATGAGTGGACAAAATTTTTAAATAACGAACAGTATCTCTTATTCATTAAATAATCCCTGTTATACAGATATGATAATTGAATATGAAGTAAATTTAGAGTCAGAACGATTAACCATGCACCTCTGACTTCCTTAATGGTTTTATATAACCACTGATGAGTATGATAAATCAGTGACTTGATTAGTGGTGGCTAAGTTTCCTAGTTTCGTTAGTAATGAACTAGGATGACAATCACAGATTCTTGAATTTGGATCTTTCACAGATACAGAGTTTCTTTTTACTTTTACTGAATGAATACAGTATAAAGGCAGATTATACACATAATATACGATGTACAATCTACTTGATTATAATAAGATGATCAAAAATCAACTTAAATGTAACGGACATGTACGTTCAGTAATTTAGTTGCATATTGTTATCGAAGAAACAAAAGTCACAGAAATCATGCTGTTAGCAATAATAAAGGAAAGGTGTTCAAAATTAAAATTCATATGGCATTCTTTCTTTTTACTTCTCAAAACTACTAAGAAATATAAAGTCGAAAAGTTTTGTACAAGTATATGTGTATATATATTCTCAAGTTTCAGATCTTATAAGGATTACTACTTACGTCTAGTTTCATATATTTATGTGATTCCTGTAAAAATGTATTAGTTGAAAGATGAACTTTCATTGATACAATCCAAATTCACCGTATGCAACTTTATGGCTGTGTAAAAGTATGTGATCCATTGACGTTTTGATAAAATCGATAATTATTCCTTTTTAATTTTTTAACTGTTGTATCTCATGATTTATTTCTTTATGATAAAAACTTTGACCCTTTATATCCA